TAGTTTGCGTGAGGGCGTGGATACTGCTGAGACGTTCAGATAGAAACAGGCAGTGTTGTCTTAAGGGCTATACCTCTCTGAACCTTAGACTTGACCCAATGGTTAGCTAACGGATTGATATCAACCCGTAGTCTAACCTGAAACAAAACAATAATCAGTCCCAATAAGGAATATTTTTTAATTATCCCTGGATCTTCACTAGTGAAGCAAACGAGTAAACTAGTGAACATCATTTTGTTCATCATGACATTCATTGTATTGTCTGCCAAATTATGGTAATATGTAGTACATTTTATCCAAATTATTCCGATTATTCATATTAGTTTGTTGATTAGATGTATCACACAGTTAGTGAAACAGTATTAGTATTTAGTGGATGACACAGTTTCGAACAAAATTTATTACTGTTCATAATCATATCAATTGTAATCAAACGACTTTGAAACTTGAGTTTTATAGTTTTCTTTGTTCTCTCCTATTTTGTCGTCGAAGGCATAGTGGAATTTTCCAGATATCCGGGTGGACACGTGTTGAATCATTCCTATTACATGTGTTTGCAATTGATTCAATAAACAAAGCTTCCGTTATCCCTCACTCTCTCCCTCCATCCTGTGACATTAGATTTTAAAACTGTCATCCTATCCCATCCATCCAGTTGTATGGTTGTGTGTAGCTGCATGTAGTGAGTGGTATAGCTGAACTATTCCCCAGATTTCTCATCTTATTTGGGTCTTTCAACCGACAAGGCTTGTTTCTAATTGAGTTTGTGGGTTTGAATGCCACAGATATCTGAATGTCCCAGATATCTGGAAAATTCTACTACCCCTTCGACGACAAAATAGGAGAGAACAAAGAAAACTATAAAACTCAAGTTTCAAAGTCGTTTGATTACAATTGATATGATTATGAACAGTAATAAATTGTGTTCGAAACTGTGTCATCCAGTAAATAATAATACTGTTTCACTAACTGTGTGATACATCTAATAAACAAACTAATATGGAATTACTTACTACTACAGTGCCCAAGTTTTACACATAAAGAAATATTCCGACTATCAACCAGTACATAACTAATTACTACAAGGAAATAGAAATTTATTTGATTGAATGGAGGATTTCACCATGAGCTGACATCAGTTGGAGAACCACTGGAAAACCTGGGAGTACTGGACGGCTGTTTCTCTTGTCCTAGTTTAGGACTCTTCAGCAGTACGCACCCACCAAACCAATACTTGAAAAGAAATTTATTTATTTTAAACTGAACTTTCAAATATTGCATCAGCTCACTTGATAAATTATATATGGAATAGTGTCTGTTTTATATTATCAGTTACGATCTCTTCATTGGGTTTATCCGGTTCTTTTTCATTTGTTAACGTTTCATTGTGGAACGTAGAGCTTCAGCCATGAAATTTAAAATTTCTATAGCAGTAGTATTTTATTTGACGGCGTCGGGTTGTCAATCTCATGTCCAACCTTCCCTCTTTATCAAGGTTTACATCTCGCTATCCGGGGTTATTGAGTGCATCAGCAGAGGATCGAATTTGGACCATGTTCATAGTTGGCTAATATACTAACCATTAAACCACCGACGGAGATTTATTTGATAGACCATGAAAATACCTACTATCTTTATTTTTGTCTCGAGGACATTCATACTACTTATATTTGTAATCAGTAGTTTGCTTAGTGAAGCAAAACATTTTAAAAACTGAGTAATTCTTATAAATTATGCTGGAACAGCTTCTTTTCCAACTTGGATGCTGTCCTATGTCTCCTGCGGTGTTTATTTGTATCTGCCAATATCCCGATCAGAGGTCTAGAACCTTGCGCAGATTAGCATTTCATAATTTATCCAGAATTTCTGCTATGCTGTTCAGACCTATACTTCCTGTCTGGTTTCTTCCTCACCAAGACTCAAACTGTTGACTTGACGATATTAGATAGTTGGAGGCAACAATCGGCCGTCACAGGAAGCCTTGCCAGGACCTAGGTTTCATGCCAGTTGGCACTCACCAGTCAGTCATCAAGGCGTATCTGCAACCTTGAAGGAACTCCAACTATCTAATATCATCAAATCAATGTGCCATCTAACGACATGGTGGCCACATTGCAAAGCTGACTGACTACTAGAATTCAGTCTGCACCAAAGAAAGGACTCGACACGTTACACTGGTTACTAGTGTCCAATCAAACTGTTGCCTTCTTTGATTATCCCCTCAATCAATATTTCGTGGATTTTTCTACATATTTCATCTAAAAGCATTGGCACTCGTGATGTTGTTAAGCTGACTTCTCCCCAATCCCTCAGCTGAAACGTATACTTGACCTTATCATAATAACCATAGGGTTTTCATCTGCTGTGAACAACCTAGTATACTTAGTCATTGACAAGTTGACGCTTGATAGTTCCTTCTGAACTTGTGCTCGTATTTCTACTTCGTCTAATCCACTCGTAATTCTCGTATATCAAAAAATTGTCTATATTTCGAGTTCACTTTTCTATTCTTCATATAAACCAATCCACCTACTTCCACCCTCAAGAAATCCACTTCTAACATTATTTGCCATATATATATATATATATATAGTAATGTATTTTGCATCCTTCCCTCTCTCTCTACATTTACTACTTCCTTTACTTCCTAGAGGAACATAGGGCTTCAGCCGCGCACGTCTCCATTGTTTTCGGTTCTCTGCCAACGTTTTCACCTGGCTCCACGTCTACAACCCACATGCTTTCATCTCCTCTTCACATCACCTCCTTCCTCAAAGTCACCCTCACATTGACGACCAACTCGCCGATTCTCATACGGGTTCCACTCGAGCTATAGCCTGGCTTGTGATGTCACTTGATGATGATTTGTTTTCTCAGAGTATGCTCAGTCCAATCCACCTCCATTTCTTCCTGCATATTTGTTGCACAGTCGGCTCCTGCTGCGCTAGTCCATTCATTGACAGAGATCCCTGTTGCTGATCTTTCCTGGCCGGTCATCTGATTTTGACAACTGTTGATGAAGGTCTATAGTTTGTTTGAGGTGTTCTACATGACGCGCCAAGTCTTTGATCTGTATAGTAAGTAGCACTAACTTCACATTAGAGTTGAAAATACGGATCTTATTTTTGATGCTGAATAGTGATGTTGACCTCCACACAGACTCGAGAGTAGTGAAAGGTTGTCTTCTTTTCCGATCCTCGAACTTTGATATCCTCATCAGTTCCACCTGTAATTGAAACGATGCTTCCCAGGTAGGTAGGCACGTGAAGGAGGTTGTTTCTTTTAGGTCCCTCCCATTTATGCTGATTGTCGTCTGTTGTTGCTGTTGGTGTTGGCCAGGAATCGCCATCACCTGCGTTTTCTCTATGTTCACCAGAAGTCCTATCTTCTCTGGATGCTTCTTCTATCACCAACTTGTAGCCTTTGACTTGCATATCTTCCAGTTTGTGGGAAATCAGACATATATCATCATCAGCGAAGTTCAGATATTCCAAGTTTTTTGTGTGGGGCCATTTTACGCCTGTTTCCTCTTTGTCCGCTGTCTGTCGCATTATCCAGCCTACTGCAATCAAAAAAATCATTGGCGATAGTAGGTAGCCAAATTGTCTTATTCCCGTCTTTACTTCGAAGGATTCCGTAAGGTTCCCGTCGTCTCTCTCTACAACACAAACTGAAACACAGAGAACCCATGACTTATTTACCCCCACAGACTGAAGAGTCAGCGCATGTGTCTATATGTCCCTAAACTGCTCTCTCTACCCATCCGTGAAACGGCTACCACTATGTCATTCAAAAAAACTAGCTGTTACCTGTCTACTGGTAGTCTGCCATACGCAGCTGCTCTTTTTGTCAATCATAAAAAGTCTGTACTTAACTTGTAACGTTAGAAGACGAAAGACTTGGTAAAGGAGAGCTTTAACTGGAATTTGGTACCTCTGTATAGCGAAATTATGTACACTTTATCTTCAACGCACCGTTTGCACAGATCTTTCGTGTTGTGCTACTGTAACAACAGAAGACAAGGGCTAGGCAACAGATCGTTTATTAAGGAAATCAACACATATTTATATATTTTCATGTACATATTAAAGATTATTATTAGCAGAAAAACTCAGTCTTCTGATTGGTTGTTTCTCACAGAAAGTTAACCTTGCATCTCTTCGTGGCCGTTTTTTGAATGTCAGGTCATCTATATGTTAACTGTATCCGCCTACGCAAAGCCTTTATTCTCATTTTTCTCCCGACCAACATTGGGGACATAAAAATCGACGTAAATTACTGTCCACCAGCCAGCTCTCACCACACTACTTCTCGCCTTTCTTCATACTGTGTTTCTTTGTGTTCCTTTCACGACTCCCTTGTTTCTCCACAACGCCGTAACATTCGCCTTCTCTGACATATGTATCTCCTCGATATTTGATGTTTTTTGATGCCGATGAACGTTTCTTCATGTACTACTGATAGATCTTATCAGTAGCACACGCCACACTCTTCCCCCACATCAAATGATTTCGAACGGATCCGTTCCGACCTTCTTGGTTCTGCTCCTTCCTGATGTACGTGGATCCCGGAATCCACTTTTGCAGTTGGATGATGTTACCCGTTTCTCTTCACTTTCTCTTTTGATGGTATAAACGAGAACACGTCTCTCACTGAGTGTAAGGTCATTCACACTTCGGGGGGAGTTTCGTGAACCTGGCCCACATCCACCTGCGTCCTTTCTTTCTCTATACTTTACTTCGTCGCCGACCTCAAAGGTTCTGCATCGAATCTTCTCTCCCTGTTCTGATTTCATGGCGTCTTTCTTCTTTTTGCGCATTACATTCCTGACGGCGTCTTTCCGTTCCGTTCGCAGCGTCATCACATTCCACTACTGATGGTGGGGTCAGGTTGTACTGTGTATTAGTAGTCGTGGTCTCCTCCCATACATCAAGTGAAATGGTGAGTTCTTTGGTGTTTCTTGGTTGGGCGCATGGTGTGGTAATAGAATCAGTGGAAGCTCTGTTTCCCAGTCACCTCCCTTATAGGCCAGCCACTTCTTCAGTGTACGGTTATTTCTGTCTGTTAGACCATTCGTTTGGGGATGATATGGTGTTGTTCGAATCTTCCTGATACCCAGCTGTTGCAAACGGGAAGTGAATTCTTCAACTATCAACTTGATATGATTATGAGAAATAGTTTGTGCTCGAAACGTCATCAGTTAATATTACTGCACAACACAGTGTGATTTATCAAAATAAAATCTTATCCGAAATGGAGTCAATACCATTTCTGACCCATGGTAAACGCCCTCTTATCTCTATTTTGTCGGTATCTGCCAATATCCTGACCGGAGGTCAAGCACTTTGTAGACGACCCAAGGAATGCCAAACGGTCTCAGATCAGTCATGCTGTTTAGCCGTCGGAAATCGATGCACAATCTGCACTTCCTATTCGCTTTCCTCACCAAAAGAACTGAAGAGTTAAACGGACTGTCAGCTTCTTCATCCTGTAACATCCCGTTGACTTGTAGCTCGATATCGCCTTCTAAATGACCCGAGATTCTTTGAGTTGTGAATGGTGCCATTTTGTGATTACTCAGTGGAATTTCATGCTTCACCTTACCATAATAACCGTAGGAGTCCCAATAATCAGTGATCGCATTCTGTAATTAACACAGTCATATTCTGTGCTTTCGACGCCTTAACCCCTACTATCTCGCTTGTCTCATGCATGCCAACAGGTCCGCACTTCATACTCATTTCGCTCTCCTTCATGATAATTATCACACCGACCTCTCACAGAAAATCAGCACCAAGAATCATCTGTATTGAAAGCCAAGGAGTATTGAACAGCTGTTTTATCCTAGTATGGGACATTTCAGCAGTACACGCCTACCAGGGTTCGAACCCACGACCTTCCAGTTACTACAAGGCAGACTCGTAGACCACTAAATTACTGGGGCCCATTAATTCCAACTTCTGCGAAACCACCAGTGGGAGAGAGTGGGGGGAATCTTTGAATACTGTTGAAGAGTTACAAACAACTATGTAACAAAACAGCTGTCCAACACTCCCTGATACTTTTTTTTTCAGTATTTCTCTAACCAATATCCAATTTGTCATCTAATTTCAAAAAAATCAAAGATCGTGTAAAATCGTAATACATGCATTTCGCAATTTAAAATTTCCCACTTTTCCCACCTCTCCTTCACAAAATTATATTTTTCTCCTATTTGAACTTAGTCCACCTCTTTACCCACTCTCTACCTCACTTTTCGGGAGGGAGAGAGAGAGAGAGAGGGAGACGAAGGCCTCTGCCCCCTCCCCCCAAAAAAACGAGATAGATAAACAAACACGTTAAAAATAAAAACAGAACATTTTCAAGCATGTCAAGAACAAAAGATAAAAAACATGAAATAAAATAACAAATAATGATCACAAAAAATGATGAAAATGAGCGAGAAAAATTAGGGAACACACCCTGGAAATGTTTCATCAGTTTGTCTATCCCCTCATAGAAATGTATTGTTCCCTATATTATATTCTATCACTATTATTATTATTATTATTATAACATGCAGAAATTCACAAAGCACAACTTGAGACTGTTCATCACAGCATTTCTATGCTAATTAAAATAGAATGAAATAAACAAAATAAGTCTTTTAAAAAAAAAGAAAAGAAAAAGAAATCCAATGATGACATGGTGTTAGTAAATGTTGTTAAGCTAAAAGTCAGTAATCTCGGCTTCACTTCTTCCCCCCTGCTTCCTCCTTGTACCACCTTCTTGCTATTCCTTCTTCGACTGCTTTTTTATCAATACAACCTTCCATTCTAGTGACCAAGTATCAAAATCATTATCCTGTAGTGCAGTGCAGTGAAGTGGAGTGGAGTGTAAGGGAAAAGGGAAAGAAAATTACAAACATTTGTAAGGAACAAGTAGGTATTTTTCATTAATTTACTATGACAAAACTGACAACGGATAATATTTCTGCATTTATCCCTTGATGAATTTGAATAAAGCAGGAACCAGCAGTGTGGCCTGTGGTAGAATAAGATGATGGTCTCATCGCATTGTTTATTTCCTTGGGTTCTCTTCAGCTTAGCTGCTTACAGCCCCTAAACAAATTATTATTAAGATTCATGTACAGAAAAGATTCAATACACTTGTAAATTTTTTCATGATGTCAGTTGATAGAAGGTTCTGGACTGAGTGAACAGTACTCAGAAAATTACGCCTAAATAGTTTTTACACAGGGAGGGAGTTCAAGCTTAAACAAAATAAATGTATGCATACAATGGTAAGGGAGTTACTTAAAAAAAGACGAGAGATGCGTAAGATGCAGAGTGACTAATAAATTAGGTAACGGTGTACTTAGTTCAACTGAAATCATAGAAACAAGAGACAAGCAAAATCACACTGTATCAAAGGGGTGAGGTTAAAGCCAAAGATGACGTGATCAAATAGAAGAAAGAATAAAGACATCCATCCACTGCGGCAAAGAAAGACTAATAACTGCTTCTTTGTGAACACATAAATCTGGTTTCAGGTGTTTGGTAGAAATTGCTTCGCCAAACTTGAGGAGAATCGAGTTCCTTTGTCTATTGATAATTTCTACCAAACACTTGAAACCAGATTTGTGTGTTCACAAAGAAGCAGCCATCAGTCCTTCCTTGCCTATCCTGGTAACTCGATATCTTCACTCTCTCTTCCATTGGATCACGTCATCTTTGGCTTTAACCTCACCCTCTTTGATACAGTGTAATTTTGCTTGTCCCTTGTTTCTATGATGTGAGTTGAGCCCAGCATATTGTCACCCATTGATATAAGAATAAAACTTGTGCACTGTAGTAGAGTGTAATTCCATTATGGGTAAATTTTTGGTTTCATAAAGTCTCACAGTCTTATACAGCAATCTTTACTGATGATGTTTCGAGCACAATTTATTTATTTATTTACTATTATTGTATAACACTGTGAGACTTTATCAAACCAAAAATTTACCCATAATGGAATATTGTCACCCAGTTTATTAGTCACTCTGCATCTAACGCACATCTCATCTTTTTTAAGTAACTCCCTTACCATTGTATGCATACATTTATTTTGTTTAAGCTTGAACTCCCTCCCTGTGTAAAAACTATTTAGGCGTAATTTTCTGAGCACTGTTCACTCAGTCCAGAACCTTCTATCAACTGACATCATGAAAAATTTACAAGTATGTTGAAACTTTTCTGTGCATGAACTTAATAATAATTTATTTAATCTGTAAGCAGCTGAGGTGATAAGAAACTAACGAAATAAACAATGTGATGAGACCATCATCTTATTTTGCACAAAACACACTATTGTTCTTGTCTCATTCAAATATTCCTGAAGTATGACACTCACTAGCCATTATAGAAATTCATTTTAAAAAAAACAAAATAATTATTCGATGATATATTTGCGTAAAACGCCGGACACTATTATAGGATTTCAACATGAATAGACATCAGTTAGAGAACCATCGGAAACCGTCTTCCTCCTAGTTTAAAACTCTTCATCAATACGCATCCACTCCATTTGGGTTCGAACCCACGACCTTCCCGGTTACAAGGTGATATGTATCCATATAAATATATACATATATATATGTGTGTGGTGGTCTCTCTTTCTGTTGCTCTCTTAGTCTGTGACCATTTCACTTTGATGAACCTGTCTCCTTTAACAATGTATATTCCCCTTATATTATATATAATATGTGTGTTTGTTTGACATGTCTGTTATATTTGCTAGGTATATATGGATCGATATTCCATTATAATTAGCCAATCATGTTAAGACTGTCTATTGATTTGTTCATTTTGAATATTCGCTCACACACTTGTTCGGACATTCATATATATTTTTGCTCTCACACTCTTGTGTGACTTTTGATTCTCCTTGTGTTTAAAAAGTAGAAGTATCATCGCAAACCTAGTGGTCTTCTGATTTCCGTCTTTCTTGAGTCAGGACATATAAATTCTCGACCAGTACATAACAATAATTTGGCGACGAGTACATAACACAAGGTTAGAGAGCTTGTAGACCATTAAGTCACTAGGGAGAAGAATGTAATGGACAAAACTTATGAATTCCAACCTCTATCGATTCACAAAATAGCGCGACTGGCACTAGGCAATGTCATCACTGGCGAGTATTTGTCCTCACACCAGCCAATCTGCAGTATCCCCCTACTGGTTACGACTTCCAGGTAACTACTTACCTGAACAGGGCAAGTTACTAGTGAGCATTCGACTGATAATTAGGTGTTGGTTTGCAGGGTCCTGGTTTCAGAACCCCAGTGGATGTGCACTGATGGAGGGTCTCGAACTAGGACTAAACAGCTATCCAGTACTCCATGTAGATTTCCCAATGGTTCTCTATTCAATGTCAGCTCATAATGAAATCCTATAATCAATCAAATCCCTGCAAACCAATGCTTGAATATTACTATCATCATTCCCTTCGGTGCCGAGCAGAACACACGGCTTTAGCAATACATCACCATTTTACCCTGTCCTCTGAAGCGTTGTTTGGTTGGTTTCACAGTCATTCACAAGCCTTCATCTCCATCCCACAAGATCTCATCTACATAACCCTTGAAACGACATCCAACTCATTGTTTTCCATTCAAGTTCCACTCGACAGTCTGCCTAGTGTGAGATACCATCTCTATTTCTTTCTGAATATTTGCTGACTGAGCAATAGGTTGCTGGTTGGCTTATCGTAACAATGTTCCTCGTTGCTTACCGGTTGGTTACCGCAGGCCACCTGCTCCTCAGTAACGAGAAAAAGCATCCGCTGATCAAAGTTTGCAGTGGCCAGTTGGAAATCGTTTTCATGACACTTATCCTAATTCTTTGAACTATGCAGAAACACTGAGTGATTTAACACTAGTGCTCAAAATCTGAAACTTGTTTCTTTTGATGACTGCATCAGACTTCCACAGTGATTTCAGATTAATCAAGGTGTTGTCTTGCTTTCTCGATCCCATCCTTGGCACTGGCATCTTCATCCGTGCCAACTGTATTTGCAAGGATGCTGCCTAGGTAAATGGAAAAGATGATTTCCTGAAAATTTCTCCCTCTGATAGTCACTCGTGCCTGACGTTGTTGTTGTTGTCGTCGTTGTTAATCAGGTATCTTCATCATCTGTGTCTTCTCTATGTTCACCTGAAGTCCTGTCTTTGCTGCTTCTTTTCGCCTGTATATCTTCGAGATAGTGTGACATCTAACACATCATCCACGATAGACCAGATTGTCTAGAGTCTTCTTTATCGGTCAGTCCAACGTATTTCTGTCTTCTCAGTCTCTCCACAGTCTGTCGTATAATCCAGTCCACCACAATCAGGAGGACTATCATCGAAGATGGCATGTAGCCTTTTCTTATCAGCTGTTTCCACTCCAAAAACTTCGCTAGGCCTGTGGTGTCATCAAGTAGCTGTTGAATGAGGTTGATAAACTTGATTTTTTTTAATAGTTATTTTTCTTCCTTTCCATTTTTTCAAGAGGTGATAGAGTTTTCTAGGTATCGAATCATGTGATTCCAGTTGATCCGATAGATATAAAGCAATCACTTCATCCATTAATCCGGTTACATTAGACATGCGTTCTCTTCTATGAGGTTTGGTTGTATGTAATTGCCTATAATGCTTTAGCTGAAGTTGATTCCTAAATCCCTTATTTTATCAGGGTTAAGAACTGAATACATTCAGCAAAGAGACTCTTTTCAATGAATTTATTATCAAACTGTATGATCGTGCATATATGGTTTTTTTTATTTATTGAAAGAGAAGACGGGGATGGTGAAGATAAACAACCAACCAACCAGCCAACCAACCAACAGCAACAACAACAACCAGCACCGATCACCATCACCATATTGACATACATGTCTAATCCTTAATTGCACAATATATGTCAATCTTCTCATTGAAGTTATGATGCTACTTTGAGTTTGAGTTTTATCCATGCCCCCCCCCACCTTCCCATGTTTATTATGGCATTTTAATTCCTAATTCCATTTTTATTCATCTGACCCTTGACCGCAAATTATTCTTGAACTCTCCTACCCACACTTAATTTATCAATATACACGAATGTACAGCCTAGTTGACGGTGACTTCGTCGAGAAGAGGAAATTTTCCTCGTTGTTTACGTCTTTTGTTAACTTTCCGCGTTTTCTTCATTACAGACATCTAAAGGCAGCTGAGGCCGTGCCAATTCATGACTTTAAGCCACACCTTTGCATACAAAAGAGGTGTGTGCAATTCCTACTTCTGCCTTGGCCGTAGAGGGATAGACATTTATTTATTTTGTTTATTTAGTTATTCTATGTACTTTTCCCTTATTACTACGATTATTATTATTATTATTACTATTCTCACTCTGAATTGTTTCCACTTGACTCCGTTGTCATTTGAAATCCAAAATTATTAATTTAAATATTTTTTACTTTACTTTTACAATATTGAATTCTATCTTATCAAATTTCACACCATGTTATGTAACATTTTATATTTGTCTACTAATCTTATAATTATGTACCTCTTTCCAAAATCTATACACCTTATGTATTATTGTATAGATGACATTAATTATTTTGCCACTTGACATTAAATATTTTAATGGCATTTCATACTATTATTATTTCATATATTCACACCTTTGACCTAATTCCCTCACCGGGTATCATTTCTTAAAAAAACCACATATATACGATTGTACAGCTTGATAATAAATCCGTTGTTGAAAAGAGTCTCTTCTTCGCTGAATGTATTGTGTTCTTAATGCTACAATGGGAATTATTAAATTATTTTGCTTATGACTCAGTCAATATATGAGAATATTTCGTTCATAATCTTGATTCTATTAGGTGCTTTTTGTGCTTTGCTAAACATTTTTTTCAACTATAGCTTACAAATAAACTTTATTTTTCTACTCTCATATTGTGGTAAGAGCAGTCTGCGAAGAAGCCAAAATTGCAGGCAACAATTTACGTCAATGTTTACCTCCTGAATCGGGGTCATGAGGAAATCAACAATAACAAAGCCTCCTAACCTTAAGGAACTCACCAACCAATCACAGCAGACTTAACGTGTGCAAATACGATTCGCAGATATATGGCTTAACTTTCTAAGAATCTGTCACAAAAAGTACAGAATAATCTTCAGCATGAAAACAACCAATCAGAAGACGTTGCTACTGTGCTAACAATAATGTGCATAAAAATCTATAAATATCTGTTGATTTTCTACAATAAACAATATGTTGCCTTGCCTTTGTCTTCTGTCGTTACAATATAACGTATAAAAAAAATAAAAATAGAAACACTCATTCATATAAGCATCATAAATGGATCACCTTTTGTCGAAATAATTGAGCTTGTTGCCACGCTAAAGAAGATGACTTCGCAGCGCTATCATCATTCCAAAGACGTGCTTTTAAACAAAGGAAATCTGAACCCTTCATAGCGTCTGAATTGAATAATGATGCTGAGCCGGGTTGAAGACATATACAAGATTTTGGTACAGATTCTGTTGATTCGCATTGCTTGTCTACTTGTCCATCTGAAGGATATTCTCCAGAGCATAGGACAAAGTGAGCATGACTATCCGATGAATGGCAGACCATATTTGTAAATAACGATATCTATGCAGGAGACAAAGGAAGAGATACAACAAAAAAACAAAAATTCAGAGACAAGCATAATTCAAACGTCTTCATCCTCAAAACATTCAAATAAATACATGCCGAGGATAAACAGAGGTGCTCCACACCTTATTGGATTATGCTGGAAGGGCGGGGGGTTTCCTCTCATTTCTTTAGTTTCAAATGGAACAAAGGAGCCTTAGAGCTTTGAAGTTTCAATAGCAGAAGTGTTATCTTTACACGACAGGCTGACACCGTCACACCAAATCTTCCCTCTATTATTGTTATTATTGTTCCCTTTGGCTCCTAGTGAAACATAGGGCTTCAACTGCACATCTCCACTTGCTTCTGTCTTTATTCTGCTGTACTTTTCACCTCAATCTATGTTAGTTCATACTCTTTCAACTCCTCTTCACATGATCTCTTCCATGTCACCCTCTCACTGACGTACCAATCGCCGCTTCCGTTTCAGGTTCCACTCGAGCAATGGCCTGATGCGCGCGCGATGTCACACAGAGGCGGCCTCCTCAGCGAGTGAGTGTCAAATCCATCCATCCATCTCCACTTTCTCCTGCATATTTGTTGGCCGACTGATTGGTTCTTGTTTTGTTCGTTCCTTCCCATAGTTCCTTGTTGGTGATTCTTTCCGACCCGGTCATCTGATCTTCAGTATAGAGCGATAGTTGACAGCTGTTAATAAAGGTCTGCAAAAGGCCGTTGGAAATATTCTTTGTGACCCACCCGCCAATTATCTTATCCATATAGAACAGCTGACTGACTTGACGTTGTTTGTATTGAAAATCCGACCGAATTTTGTTGTTCGTGCTGGCTGAGTGACGAAGATCTCCAGATCTAGTGGTTTCAGGTTGATGAACAACGTGTTTCTCGCTTTCCCGATTCTCGCTCGATTTGACATCCTCGTCCGTCCCTCCTCCTGTAGTTGAGACAATACTCCCTGGATAAGTGAATGAATGAAGTAACCTCTTTCAAATCCCTCCCGTTGATGGTGATTGACGCTGGATGTTGCTGCTGTTGTTGTTGTAGGTTGGTTGGTTGGTTGGTTATTTTCATAACCTCCGTCTTGTCTATGTTCACCTGGAGTCCTATCTTCGCCGGCTGCTTCTTCGACCAGTTTGTCGGTTGGTTTTCGCTTGTAAGTCTTCGATTTTGTGACAGTGTCATCAAACGTAAATCATCCACGCGCGAAATCCAGGTCTTCTAGGTTCTTCACGTCTTTCTCTCTGTTCAGGATATCCCTGTCTTCTCGTTTCCCACTCAGTGTCTGACGCATAACCCAGTCCACCACAATTAGGAATATCACTGGTGCTAATAAGCACCCTTGTCTGACTCCTGTGTTTACTCCAAACGCCTCGCTAAATTTTCCGTTGTGGATGACTCGACATGTGCCGTTGTTGTACAGCTGTTGAATAAGCTTGACGAATATTTGGGGTACGCCATAGTACTTGAGTAGTTTCTAAAAACCTTCCCTCTATACCCTGGGTTTACTACCAGCTGCTAGTAAAGAATTTGGCGACGTTTGAAAGTGCATCAGCCAGGAATGGAACCCGAATCTCCTACGTGGCTGCAGAGCATTCTACCACCTAGCCACCACCACAAACAATAGTCGATACTAACCCACAGTATTTAAGTGTAGTGGTTAAGCTGAAGGTTTCTTATCAACCAACCACGCTGTCGAGTTAAATTTGGCTGTTCAGCGACGATCTGCCGTTAGTAAAGCACGCATCACTGCTTAACTCTATCAATCCTGAAATATATTTCGTATTTTGGACGGCTCAGCTTCTGTTCCGATCCCGTCTAACAAAAATCCTTTTTGGTTCACGTCAATCCAGTATAGTTTCGTTGGAGGATAGGATTACGCATAGGCATAGTGTCACAGTAACTTCTTCTATAAAGATTTCAATAATAAAATGAAACTAATGACAACAAATCAGATGGCCAGAAAAGACTATCGACAAAGAACTCTGGTAGGGAACGAACCAACCAGGAACCTACTGCCCAAAAAATTTGGAGAAGGGAATGGAAATGAATTGGAGACACTCTGAGGAAACCTTTGGGTGACATCATGCGCCAGACCCTTGAGTGGGCAACGACGAAGTGGACGTCCCAATGTGATATGGAGGAGATCGTGTGAGAAGGAGATGAGAGCTCATGGAAAATTGTAGAGCTAGCTAAAGATAACTGCAGAAAACAGGATGATGTGAATACGCCCCGCTAATACTGTCTGTCTGTTTTCGACATAGAACTTTGCACATATATGCGGCACTTCAAGTCGCCACACTCCCTCCATGTACCACACAAAGCAAGAGAAGAAAGTAGAAGAAATGCACAGTAGAGACAGTAAACAGAGGTGTCAGAAAAAGGAATAGTAATAACGAAGAACGATATAATTTCATTGGAAATCATAAGTCACAAGGAGTGAATGCATCTGCACCAGCCATTGAGAACGATTTTGAGCCATATCATCAATTGTTTTCAGCCACCATTGGTTTTTACCGTCCCGAGGACCCCAACCAGCCAGTCTGGAAGTCTACACCTTCCTACGTAATTAGCTTACACTAACTGTTGTGGATTTCCTTGACTGATGAAGCTATGTTTTGGTTTGACCGCTGCTATCTCTTTTCCAGCATGTTCATGTATCAGCTAACATTGCCCTTCGAGGATGACTAGGTGATGACTAGGCACACGTAACACTTGTCCTAACCATCTCAGTCGATGTAATTTCACAGTTTCGTTGATTGATTTCCCCTCCCACCTACCTAGCACTAGACGCCTAACCTCAATATTGCTCACCTTATTATACCACTTCACACGAGAGATAGAGCACAGGCACCTATGATCAAACACAGCTAATCTTTTCATTTCTTCCACTCTCAATGGCCACATTTCACAGCCATAAAGGAGGACGGGGCGGACTGATGAGCAGTACACCTGCCCTTTGGTCGAGAGCCAGCCGGAAATCACGTCTACGCCAACGACGGCGTCAACTGGCATATGCGAAACTAGCCCTCTGTATCCGTAGTGAAATTTCGTCAGCGGTCAAGCCGTTGTCATTGGTTGATGCAACTTCCAAATAATTGAAGCGGTCAAGATGCTCCAACAACCACTTTACTCCCTGTTTCTAAACTAGGAGTCAGTGTAGTCCAGTCCTGTAACATCATCTTACATTTGGCGGGAGAAGCGAATCGCATGCCAAACATTCATAGATTGCAGCTCAAGGTGTTCAGAAGACTCTGTATTTTGTCAGCATCCTCGCCTAAAAGGACTAAATCGTCTGCATATTCGCTGATACCATATGTTTCACTCGGAACCTACGAGAATAATAATAATAATAATAGGAACAGTAGTACAATTTTGTAACCCTAACAGAGCAGTTGTAAATTCAAGTAGTTGTCCGTTCAAATATTTACAGTAATCACTTGGAATTCAAAAGTCTACAATTTTATGAAACTAGTTTTATAAAATGCTAGAAAGTCAGGAACTCATTAAGTATCCAAAGCAATAACATGTATTTTCTGAGGAAATGAAATAAGCAGGTAGTACGTTTATCAACTGACTTTACTTCATTATGCGTTCTTTGAGTACGAGTGGAACATAGAGTGTGAACAGGAGATTTTTATAGTACTCATTTCCACGAAATGACTTTCAGCTATCCCAACGACTTCCCACAGGTTTTTTTTATTTCCTTTTTTTCTCACGAGCATTTGTATCGCTTCTCATCCAGGTTCGCCTCCGTGGAGTGATGCATGATGTCACGCAAGAGCTTCTTCACCTCCAGTCCACCTACATTTTCTTTTGTACATTTGAAGGGCTACAGGTTGTTGGCTGGTTCGCTATGTCAAAGTTTCCTGTTGCTTATCCTTTCTGACTGACCATCTCTTAAGTATCCAGCTGGTTGTTCCTGCAGGTCGTACCATCCCAGGAACGTTGTCAGATAGCGATTAGACTAAAACTAGTTACCAGTAAAGTGTAAGAATTTATTTTTACACTATGCTGGGGATGGTCTGTAGGAGGAGTCGTACCGACGGAGGACAGGAATGTGACAGCAGTAAGGTGTTTCCCTCAGATGAACAGCATGCCAGCCAGCTATGTTGTCTCTCCACTCCACAGACGAGGAGGGCGGTTAGAAAAGGTCCATCCCGAAAAGTGTACATTCCGAATTACCCTACAGGATAGTGGTCCGTACCTGGTGGTAAGTTTACTAATACGGAACCAATCCAAGAAACCAGTTCATACAGGCCAGTCTCAAGTAGTTGTCAGGCAACACTAACCCTCCTTCTTTTTCAAGTCATCGAAGAATAAATCAGCTTCCACGGTGTGGGCAGCCGGGAAGTAACAACCGCCCACACACTTCCAAAAGCACATAAAGCCTCGCCAAGCACCATTCTCCTTCACCCACATCTTCCAGCTGGTGGAGACTGGATGTTGATAAAAGTCTGGAGTAAGCTCTTAGAAATGCCTCTGGTGGCATGCGTGCTAATTGCTCGAAGCATCTAGAAGGACCGAACTGATATGCGTGCTGAAAATTTGGATCTAGTTCCATGTGCTGTGTCACAGACCTCCACCCTGATTTCACAGTAATTACTGTACTTCTTGTTTTCCCGATCTTGTGCCACGTGTGGCTGAAATGACTGGCTTATTTTTAAATTTCACCCGTGATTGATGCTTACTGTTGTCAGCTTAAGGCTTTCTCAGTCCCCACAGACAGATTCATTGAAGTGCGGAATTAGAATCAGTGATACTAGGCAGACTTGTCTTACTCCTTATCTTCTCATTTCAAAGGCGTTTCAATGAGCTTTTCATCGTGAATTACTTAAGATGAGACATCTCATCATATATAGCTAGTAGCCGTTAAAACCTTGTAATAAATACAACAAAAAACAAAAAAAACTAACAACAAAATAAAAATTAAAAACAGTCACTAAAACAGAACTTACTTTGTCAACTACATAACCAGTATCTCTTAAATCTAACATCCATGTGATTATACCCTCATCAGTTGGGTTACTGTCTTCTTCACGAGCTAAATAAACCATATGCCAATCCAATTCAACCTAGTGTGTGTTTCCCAAGAAAAACAACAAAATTGAACAAAAAAATAAGAAGGACAATAAAACACCTTGACTCCATAATTCAATATTCCAAGTCAAGTTAGATCAAAAACTGACATCAATTAAAGATCCAATGTAAACCAAAGAGTAATGGGATAACTGTTTCGTCCCAGTTTGGGTCTCCTCGGGAGTACGCAACCATGAGACCCATCTTCATGGATCAAATCCGACACTCCCAAGTTAAAAACTCTGAGCAACTGTATCCTGCAGTTGGTAACTAACTAGTGTGAATCACATTAACTTTCAAGTCACAAACTAGTATAAAACGGCAATCCAGCACTCCGTGGTACTCAACGATTCTCAAATTGATGTCAGCTCGTCATTTAAGTGGTCAGACCGAAACTTGCTATCAGCCAGGTTGACTTCAGCCATGTGAAGAAATGTAGAATGCTTCGTTGGGGGTATGTCCATCAGTACGCACACACCGGCGGGGTTCGAACCCACAACCTTCCGGCTATAAGGATAGCTCGTAGACTATTCAGCCATTGGGATGGAATCCAACAGTACATCAATTCAAACTTCTACTAATTGGTTAATTTAGCACGACCATTAACTAACTAACTAACCAATACCGTCCGAGGGTAGTTTTCTTCACTCCCGACCCCACTGGTCAGGTCATGCCATCTCACTGGAATCCGTCGCGAAACCAGTCATTAGTGAGCGTAAGGTTTATTTTCAGGAGTAGATTTGTAAGGATTTGATCCTTCCCAGGTTTGATCACGGAATGATATCAGTTATAGAGAACCGTCAGAGGGTATTGTCCATCCGTTTCATTCCAACGGAAGAGCTCCAGACTAGGACGAAACACCCAGTTGTTCAGTACTCCCTAGTGGTTTTCGACAGCCCTTCCTCTCTGTAACTGATATAAAAAATCCGTGATCTAACTCTTTTTTTCTATATAGAAAATATCCCCATTTAGACATTTAGAAAACAGAAGGATTGAGCAGCGAAGAAATATGTTTACTTATCAATGAGATCCTCATCTCACTCTGGCTATACTCTAATACATATTATGCATGGCATTTTTATTACAATACACAACACTTTACCAATCATCAAGTGGCACTGATATGTTTGTTAACAATAATTAGTCAGTCAGTGTCAAATGTCAAGCAGTGGGGTGATAATTAACGAAGAATATCAATAGACACACAATTAAAGGGTAGAAATGGTTGGAACAACATTTTTTTATTTTTTTTTATTTTTGATTACAGCTTGATTCCACACTGTATTTTTGGTACAAGTATGGAATTTTCAGCGTGGATATCGGTAGCCCAAATTTCGCAGGCCGACCATAGATATCAGGTGTGCGTCGGCGTGAGCTCGAACCCCGGACCATGTGCATGGTCGGCGAGAGTCTTAACCACTGTGCCACCGGACGCACACGGATTGCATAATGCATAATTTCGGAAAAATGAAGAGTAAATAGGGAATAAGTGTGTGCACAGGTTGACTACATAACAGACTGTTAAAGAAAATAAAACGATTTGGACAATGATAATTTGTAACTAAAGTTAAAGTGGTCATAGGAATAAAATAACTTTACATTGATAACATGTAGTTAAAGATGAAGTATGCGACAGTGGCACAGCGGTTAAGATGCTTGCCGACCATGCACATGGCCCGGGGTTCGATCCCCAGCCACAGACGCACTCCTTCACCTCGTTAAGCCAGAAATAATGATGGTAAAGAGGAAAGGTTGGACATGCGGCTAACAACCCCATCCTATAAAAATAAACACTGCTAAAGAGACTTCAAGACACTAGCTTGAGGTCCTATGTGAATGGAATGTGAAGGAAAAAAAAGATGAAGTAGCCAGAAAAACAATAAAATAATTTGGACAATTATAATTTTTAAAGGTTTAAGGGGAAGGCGAGCGAAGTAGTCCGATTTCTACATTCATGTGACGATGACCAAGGTGAGGAAAGTTGCTGTACAAATTTCTTCTGAACACATGGGTTTGGCTTGTTCTTCAGGTGGATTCCTATTGCTTCAGCTGCTGTATGTAGAAGATGAACTCGTAGAGCAAAATTAAGATTAGTAGGAATGCGACAGATAATTTTAAATGCAGTATTAACGTCAACCTTATGCTCACTATCTACAAGGTGTGCTCAAACAGACAGCTACGAATAGATCTTGCCTGTCCCTTGCTTAACCATGTTGGATGATGTTCGGAAATACGATGATGAACCTGCCTAATTGTACGCCCAATGTAGCTGGCTCTGCAGCTGCAGTCAAACAAGTAGATACATACATATATACATTATAAATCATGATTTAAACTAACCTTTCGAAAAATATTCTTCCATTCATAAACTAAAGACTGCCATCCAAACAGACCACTTTTTCGTGCATTTTCAATTAATTTCGATGATGCTTCTTGTTGTTTTTGTTGTTGTTTAACTCTTGTTGAACAATTATTACCACCACTACTCGATTCATTGGTATTTGTTTTATTGTATGAAGGACGTTCATAAATATTCAACGCTGAATTATAACGTAGATGAAATATTCCACTTTTCAGTTCAGTATCAGATGGACGAATAATATACTTGGATCTAGTTTAAAAAACAATAATAAGAATAATAAAATTAAATTCTAATTAAATGCCCAGACATCGTCGAAGCATCTGCACAAGAAGCCAACAGACATGTCAACCTGAGTAGACTGGGCACTTCGGTCTAATCAATTGACGGGAAAACCTAAAATTCAATTAAATAATTAATATGACCTGTTGCACAAGAGGCAATGGCTCTCGTGGCTCAAATGATCTAGTGGATAACGATTTGGCGTTTGAAACTATGGGCACTGTGTTCGAGCCCCGGTGGGAACATCATCACTCACTGGGAAATGCAGGTACATCCAGCTGGAGGACGAGTCCCAAATAGGACGAAATGCGCGTTATCCTGGATTCCACTACTAGTCACCATCCACAAATTAAATTCTAATAAAAGGAAAGGTCATGTAAATAATAATCAAAATGAGAAATGGAAAAGAAAAGAAGCTTTTACAGTGGGATTCCAATCCATCGATCGCCTGGCGCACGATGTAAATCTGTCAAATCTCTCCTGTTGATTGTGATTGGTGCTGATTTTTGCTGTTACTGTTGCTGTTAGTAGTGGTTGGCTGTCTTCATCACCTCAATCTTCTCTACGTTCATCTAGAGTCATATCTTCGCTTCCTCTCTCTTCAGGCAGTTATTTCGTTTTCGCCCGAAAGTCTTCGAGTCATCCACGTGCGAAATCCAGATCTTCTAGAGTCTTCTTGTCAAGCAGTTCAGCATATTCCTGTCCTCTCGTTCTCATGCACAGTCTGACGCATAATCCAGTTCACCACAATTAGGAATATCATCGGTGATAGTAGACATCAGCCTGTTGTATTCAATTCGAACGCCTCGCTCATTTTTCCGTTGTGAATCACCTGCAACGTGGCATTATCATATAGCCAGCTATTATATGAGGTTGACAAAGACTTGGGGAACCGGCCTGCATAGTGTTAAAGTAGTTTCGAAATTACTTCTCGGTCAACGCCGTCTGTTGAAGGTTTTTTTGAAGTCGATGAAGGAAGTTGAGGTAGACGTTTGACTGACATTCTATGCTTTGTTATGTGATGAGGATTACGCGTAGAGTTGTAATTTGTTCAACACACGATATGCCTTTCCTGAATCCAACTTGTTCTGTTGGGCGGATTTCTGCATCCAGCACATCTTTTATATTCTCTCTAGAATGATGCGGCTTAGTATTTTACTTGCCGTAGAAAAGAGTATTATTCCACACCGGTCAGTTCTTGGAGTGTCCTAAGTAGCCTTTCTTTGGTAGCTTGACAAGATAGCCTTTCCTCCAATCTGAAGGCACTTCGCCTTTCTTCCAAACCTTTTGTAATCATGGTGTGAGCACATCTGTTGCAGCCTCTGGGTCCATTTTCAGTGCTTCGGGGGACAGGGGTGGGGGAATCCGTCTGATCCTGCTGCCTTCCTGGCCAAACTTCAGTACCGCTGAGATCATATGTCCTACTCGGGAAGAAAGGAAGGGATAAGAAGAATTTCAGACGAAACTACACACTTTCTCCCAACTCGAGAATGCTGCAACAACACACTCTCAAGCAATCATACTGATTTCATCTCTTCTAGATTATCTGAACTCGAACAGAATATCTGACTAAATTCTTATCAAACCATATCACTGTTATTATTTCATTTATTTTAATCATGTGTTCCGAGTCGAACCCCGGCTGACAACTGCTACCTTGCCGTGGTCGTCGGGCTTGAATACCGCAGTGACTCAACATGCTAAACTGTCTGGGACTCATGTCCCTGCAGGTCCTACCATGTCAGGAAGGTTTTCTGGATAGCGGTTAGACCAAAAGCCGTTAATCCTGGGGCACATGGGCTCCAGAATCTAATGGGATCAAATGGCGTATGAACCTATATGGGTCACCGGAAACCATGGGAATGCAGCTCCTGACGCTGCTCCGCTGCCTTGCGGATTAGACTCAAAGTCAAAGACTCGGGGGTGGTCCCTTAAGAAAGTCACCTGCTTCGGTCTGGGCGCCCGGGAAGTATCTCAGCCCTCACACAATTGTGTGGCGCATCTTTCTTGGTGCCATATTATATCAAGTTTTTTTCTGCGTTTAAATAAATAAACAAAAAATCCGAGTCGAACAAAGAGCTTCAAGCCTCAGCTTTGAATTTTCAGTAGCAGGGATGCTTCTTTTCACGGAGTGGGGTTGCTAACCCCACAATTCAACCTTCTCTCTTTATCTGTCTTACTACCGATTAAGCGATGTTTAGGAGTATTATGTCGGTCAAGAATCGACCCCCAGGCCACGTAGGTGATTGGTCAGTAATTTACCAATGATGCAAAATGCTTGTCACCGCCTTGAGGGTAGACACAAGGTGTGAGTTGTGGAGTACCTACCTGGTCAACGATCCTAGGACATCCCGCGTGTCAAGCAGGTAAATATACTGTGATGATAATAACAATAATAGTAATAGCGCAAGACAATGATTAAACTCACCCTTTAGTTGGAGATTCCACTGATCCAGATACCTGCTGGCCTAATTCGCCACGTGCTGCACGCCATTCTAATGATCCAGTCTGACGACCTGGAAGCTGACCAGTTGATTTTGGTGGATGTAAAAATGATATCAGTTCGCTGAGAATCGATTTCCAAGAAAATGGATTCTCATCACTACGTGTTGTCGCGTCGGGAATTGATGACCAGCTTTGTACAGCATCTTTGTGAATATTCGCCAGTTTCGCGGCTAATACAGACTCTCTAATTAAATTACGACGTGACCGTACCTACTTTGGAAATGGAGAAAAAAGATATTCAAAGCATGAGTGGATAGTATGCGTTCAACATATATATAATATAGAAATTTGAATGACAAAAATGTCAGTCAGAAGACCACTGGACAGTATTTAGGCGGTATATCTCTACTGGCCAGCAGATGTATTTAAGTGTTGGTTTACATGGATTTAATCGGTTAAAAGATTTCATCATGTAGTAACTCATCGAAAGAGAGACACTGAGAAGTGGTCGCGCTGTGTGTCGTGAATTGGCAGGAGTTGGAATTTATGAGCTGGCCATTGATTTGGCAGGCCACAATGGCTTAGTGGTCTATGAGCTTGCTAGCCTTGTAACCAGAAGATCCGAAGTCTGAACCCATGTGGCGGGTGCGTACAGTTGAAGAGTCCCAAAATAGGACGAAACGGCTGTCCAGTACTCCCAGATGGGTTTTCCGATGGTTCTCAAACTGATGTCAGTTCATGATGAAACCCTCCAACCGATTTTATCATGAGTTGACATAGGTTAGAGAACCATTGGAAAACCCACCAGAGGTAGTGGACAGCAGCTGTGAACTAGTTTACAAGTAACCAAGTGGACAATTTAATGACCGGTTTATCTTCTTTTAGGTGCAATCTGAATACAACTAAGTCAATTAAATCCCTACAAACCGATACTTGGAAATTACTCTGATGTTCATTGGTGACTGACAAAAGGATGAAGTCACCTGCAGTTTTAGGGAGATGCTGTGACTAACGGGGTATCCAAGATGCGGAATGCGAGAACAAATACTCACCAACGAAATATTGGCTGGCGGTTGTCATGTGAGTTTGATTTTCTGCCAGTGGCCGAACGGTCAACGAGTTCAGTTGGTAACCTGAATGTCTTGGGTCCAATCCCTACTCAAGTCACTGGTGTACACCGATGAAGAGTTCAGAACAAGGACGAAACAGCTTCCCAGTAGTACTCCTTCTTAATTTTCAGTGACTAAACTTAATATTACTAAATGGCTTTAGAAGCTTATAACTTGTTCATTTATGCACTCAACTTCCAGTTATTGGTCCCACCCACCAAGGTTCAGTTAGCCCGGTAGTACCAGTAATCCTCACTGGATGGCTGGTGATAAGCAGAACCTTTTATACACTTATGGAAGTGTGTAGGCGGTTTTCACTATCCATAGGATTTGGTTTCTTCTAAAAGTACCACCTGCAATAGAATCATAAGCGTTACACATAACCTGAGCAACTGCTTGAAGTTTCGCAAACACACGATCTGTTTGAGTTGACTTTTGGAGTTTTGTGTGTGTGTGTGTGTGTGTGTGAATACTTTATCTCTGGCTATAGACACCCCCCGCAAGGCACAATACGATATCGACCATATTTGGAAACTATGTCCGAATAACTGGAATCCAGGCTTACTTCTGGGTGATGTTTAGCTGAGACAAAAGAATAAACCGCTGTCAGATGATTTGGATTTACTTACGCTTTCACTTATGTGGAGTTATTGATAAAGTGAGTGTTATCAATGTCTGTGTTCGTTCGCATGGTTTCTGTAACAGCTATAGTAATGATAGAGATTTCTCATCTAATTTACAATATGAGGATAAACTGGCTAGAAAGCTAGAACTAGAAGAGGAGTTGTATTATTATTATTTCCTTTAATTCCTAGAGAAACATAGGGCTTCAGCTACGCACGTCTTCACTGCGTTCGGTTCTCTGTCAACGTTTTCACCTGGCTCCACGTCTGCAACCCACATGCTTTCATCTCCTCTTCACATCACCTCCTTCCTCCAAGTCACCCTCACATTGACGACCAACTTGCCGCTTCCCTTTCGGGTTCTACTCGAGCGATGGTTTGTCTAGTGATGTCACTTGATGATTTGTTTCCTCAGAGTATGGCCAACAATCCACCTAACTCCATTTCTTCCTGCATATTAGTTGCACAATCAGTTCCTGGTTGGTTTGCTCCCAAAGATCCCTCCCTGTTGCTGATCATTTCTAGCCATCTGCTCCTGAGTAATATTGAGCGGAGACAGCTGTTGATGAAGGTCTATAGTTTGTTTGAGGTGCTCTACATGACGCGCAGTGCAAGTCTCTGATCCGTATAATAAGTAGCACTGACTTCACATTGGAGTTGGAAATCCGGATCTCATTTTCTTTTCATCCTGAGTAGGGCTGTTGACCTCCACACAGACTTGAAAGTAATGAAAGCTTGCCTTGTTTTCCCGATCCTTGCTTTGATATCCTGGTCAGTTCCGCCTGTAGATGAAACGATGCTTCCCAGGTGGGTGGGTAAAGGAGGATGTTCCTTTCAGGTTCCTCCCATTTATGCAGGCTGATTGTTGTCTATTGTTGTTGTTGGTGGTGGTGGTGTTAACCATGAATCTTCATCACCTTCGTTTTCTTTATGTTCACCTGAAGTCCTATCTTCTCTGGATGCTTCTTCTGTCAAAAAGGAGTGCGTCGGCCGGAGATCGAATCCCGGACCACGGGCGTGGTTGGCAAGCATTCACCCGTTGTGCCACCGACGTAAGGCAGATCAATTCTGAGCTTGCCGGTAAGTTTGAGACGAAAGATGATAGATAGTTTAAGAGTTAAGAAAGGGTACAAGTTCTTGATGTGGTTGTGTTCTCTGAGCTGGATAGTTAATTTGCGAAGTTTTCATCACCCTACTAGGTGAGACCTTCAGTGCATACTTCAATTTATTAAAGTGAGCTTTTAGATTTCTCCACGAGTTTATTAGTCATCTCTTCTGGTGACCTCGGACGTGATTGGTTGTTTTTGTGTGTTTTCACACCTTCTAGGTTACTTGTATTGGAACTGATTGCGTATTTGACTTGAAATTTGACCCTTTGCATGTGAGGTTTCTTTTTTATCGGTTGATAAACTTTGTCTATCTCGATGTGTCTAATGATTGATGATTCACTAGAATGCCAAGCTTCTAAAAATTCTCTAGCATTCTTGCTGTTTCCTCTGTCTAGTATTTGAACGTTGGTTGTCCCAGTCGAATTGATGTCCGTGGTTGTCTGTATGCAGTGAGACGATTTGAGGGAGTGGATGTCATGTCTTTTGACAGCTAGCTTATGTTCGTGGATACGAAGACGAAGGAGACGTCCACTTTGGCCAATGTAGTGTTTTTCACAGTTGTTACAATTTATTTTGTAGATGATGTTGGTTTTATCTTCTTTCGCTGTTGAGTCTTTTGGTTGACACAGAGCCAGCTGAGTGAAGTGACTTTGTTGGTTTGTGTACGACGTCAATTGCTAAAGGTTTGAAGAGTCTTGTAGTGATTTCTGAGATATCCTTTATATATGGTAAAGGGATTTTCTTTACGCTTTCCTTGGGGGCTTTTGCTTTGATAGGTTGGCTTGGGGATATATGTCTCTTGATGAAATTCCGCCGATATCCATTCTTTTGGAAGACATCCATGAGATATTTTTCTTCAATTCTCCTTAAGGTGGAAGTGATGCGATGAGTCCTTGCCCTCTTGAATAGTGTTTGTATGCTTCCGTTATCAATCTCTCCCTCCAACCTGCTGTTACATTAGATTTTAAAACTGTCATCCTATATCATCCTATTATATGGTCCTGAGTAACTGCATGTAGTGCAATAGCTGGCAGGAATAAAAGTGGCTGACATTCAAACCCACCAACTCAATTCGAAACTAGCTTTGTCAGTTAAAGGATCCTGTGGAAACAAAACAATTTAGTTTATCTAATGCCCTGTCTGCAATGACTGTCAGGTCAAATATATAGGTCAAACTAGTAGAACACGGGCAGTCGGACTAGCCGAACATAAAAGCTAGCAAAATCTAGATTGATCGACTCGAATAAGATAAGAAATCTAGAGAATAGTTCAGCTTTAGCACTCCATGCAGTTACTCACAACCATACAAAAGGATCGGATAGGATGAGAGTTTTAAAATCTAATGAATGTCACAGGGTGGAGGGAGAGATTGATAACAGAAGCTGTGTTTATCGAATCAACTGGTTGAGAATACTTGTAATAGGAATGATTCAACACCTGTCCACCCAAATATCTGGAAAATTCTACTACCCCTTCGATGACAAATAGGAGAAGACAAAGGAAACTGTAAGACTCAAGTTTCAAAGTAGTGTGATTACAATTGATTTGATTATGAACAGTAATAAATGTTGGTTGGCACTGTGTCATCCAGTAAATAACACTGTTTCACTGTGTGATACATCTAATAAACAAAATAATTTGGAATAATAAAGCTGTGTCAAACTACCCATTCAACTCAATAAGCAAAATACGCAAAACCAGTTAGAGAGTGTAAGAGTAGTTAGATGAAAATACAGTCTTAAAAAAAATACACACACACCAATGAAAAAAAACTCAACGAATACAAATAAAAATAACGTTTTGTTTACCTCTGAAAAATGTTGTGTATATCTCCAGGTCACATCTTGTATATCAATAGATGTTAATTGATTCCTGGATATTTGACGTGGTGGTGGTGATGGTGGCACTGTATACGCCAGAATATAATTCACTTTTTTATTCCATCCTGATTCATATAACAACGGTTTGTCTAGTTGACCTTCACATGGATCACAATGCATCCAACGTTTACGTTTAGAGTGTTTATCCTCTAACCAGCTTGATAAAGGAAAAGCATACGATGATGATGGTGATGATGACGTCAGAGGAAGAAATGATAAAAACACGAATAAATATAAAACATGAGGTCAGTGTATTTTGATTGGACACTTCGTTCATTATTTGTGTGTATGTGTGTGTCTCAGTAGCATATTTATCACTTCTGCCCTGTGACACGGCAGCAGGAAGCGCGGTCATTGTTAATCCAGGCCCCGGCCGATTCGGCATGAAATTTTGTGATTTTGTATGTATCATAGTGTTGGATTGGGTAGCTGATTTTTGTCTAACCGCTATCCAAACAACCTTCCTGGCATGGTAGGACCTGAAGAGACATAAGTCTCAGCCAGTATAGCTTGATTAGGTCATTGCGGTGTTTAAGCCCGACCACCACGTCAAGGTAGCAGCTTTCGGTCGGGAGAGAGAGTGGAAGACATGAAAAGATTAGCTGTCTTTGATCATAGTTGCCTGCGCTCTATCTCTCGTGTGAAGTGGTATAACAAGGTGAGCAATATTGAGGTTAGGCGTCGAGTGCTAAGTAAGGAGGGGAAATCAATCGACGAGGCTGTGAAATTACATCGACTGAGATGGTTACGACATGTGTTACGTATGCATGTCTAGTTAACGACTTCCTCGACCGACTGGCAATGTTAGCTGACACAGGGTCAGGCTGGAAAAGAGCTAGTGGCGGTCAAAACAAAACACGGCCAAATCGGTCAATGAAATCCACAACAGTTAGTTTAATCCAGACAAGTAGGAAGGTGTAGACTTCCTAACTGGTTGAGGTCTTCTGGACGGTTAAAACCAATGGTGGCTGGAAACAATTAATAATATGGCTCAAAATCGTTCTCAATGGCTGGTGCAGATGCATTCACTCCTTGTGACTTATGATTTCCAATGAAATTATATCGTTCTTCGTTATTACTATTCCTTTTTCTGACACCTCTGTTTACTGTCTCTACTATGCATTTCTTCTACTTTCTTCTCTTGCTTTGTGTGGTACATGGAGGGAGTGTGGCGACTTGAAGTGCCGCATATATGTGCAAAGTTCTATGTCGAAAACAGACAGACAGACAGATTGAACACTAGTCAGCAACTAGTGTGATGTGTCTAGTAGTCCTTTCTTTACTGCACGCTAAATTCTATCAGTCAGTCAGGTTTGCAATGTGGCCACGATGCCTCTAGGTAGCTCGCCAACACCGTGCACATTGATTTGATGATATATTAGATAGTTGGAGGCCACAATCGGCCACCAGAGGAAGCCTTACTAGAACCTAGGTTTCGTGCTAGTTGGCACTCACCAGTCAGTCAGCAAGGTGGCGTATCTGCAACCACCTTGAAGGAACTCATGTGTCCCTCCTTCTGAAATTCGAACCAAATTCACCCAGTGCCTCCTTCAGTTAGAGACGTTACCACCACTGTGGAGCTATTCGGGCTCGTGATTGACCTCCTGTAGGAGTGTAGTGGACAGTATTTTGATTGGACACTAGTCAGTAACTAGTGTGATGTGTCTACGTAGTCCTTTCTTCGGTGCAGATTGAAGTGTAGTGGTTCAGTGGTAGAATGTTTTCCAACCAGGCATGTAGTCCAGGGTTCGACTCCCAGCCGGCGCATTCCCAATTCCTCGCTAAGCAGGTAGTAATTCCGCTAGAGTGAAGTTTAGGTGTGAGACTAGAGACTCCACCCCATAAAGAAAACAAAAAACCTCTGCTACCGAAACTCCAAAGCACTGAATTCAGAAGACATTTGTTCAGTTACTACATCTACGCAGGACCTAATCTGTCTCGACCCAAGGTACGTTATCTTTGTCAATCCTATGTCTGCTTCTCATGAAGTGGATCCTAACCTTGACCACCTTGCAATTTGAGTTCAGCTCCACTCAATCCTGTCATTTATGTTACGTTTTTTTGACTGACTGGTTCCAACGTAGAACTTTGCACCGATGTGCAGGAGTTCGAGTCGCCATACTCCACTCAGCGCACAAACGAAGACAAGGAAGTATGAGAAATGCCATATAGAGACAGTAAACAGAGATATGAAGCAAAGAGAATAGTATTATGGAAGAACAATATAGTTGTATTGTGTATTATAAGTCACAAGGAGTGGATGTATATGAGCCAGCCATCACTGAGAACGATCTTGAGCCATATCACCAATGATTGCCTCGCCTCCGGCTATCAATGGTTTTTACCATCCCGGGGACCCCAACCAGCCAGTCAGAAAGTCTACACCTTCCTACATGGCTGGCTGGCTGACTTAAACTAACTGTTGTGGATTTACTTTATTGATTGATGAAGTCATGTTTTGGTTTGACCACCCACCACTAGCTAACTCTTTTCCAACCTGATCCATCCTATGTCAGCAGCTAACATTGTCCGTCGGTTGAGGAAGGCGATGGCTAGGCATGCATACGTAACACATGTCCTAACCATCTCTCTCCATCGATGCAGCTTCGCAGTCTCATCCATGGATTTCCCCTCCCGCCTACCTACCTAGCACTCTATCGAAGCCTGACCTCAATATTGCTCACCCTATTATACCACCACTTCACACGGGAGATATAACACAGGGACCAATGATCAAAGATAGCTACACTGGCTTTTCATGTCCTCCACTTTCAATGACTATGTCTCACTCACAGCCACCAAGGAGAAGGACAGAGCGAACAGCTGCTGAGCAGTACACACGTCCTTTGGTCGATAGCCAGCCAGCTAGTCGGATATCATTTCTACACCACAGACGGTGTAAACTGGTGGGTATATGCGAACCAAGCCTTCTGTAGCCATGCCGATATTTCCTCAGTGATCAACCCGCTGTTGCTGATGGCTAATGCAACTTCCCAAATAAGTGAGTGAAGTAGTCAACGCGCTCCACCAACCACTTCACTCCCTATTTCTAAGCTAGGAATCAATGTAGCCCCGTAAATCCTGTATCACCTATCATCTTGCATTTGACAAATGGAGCGAATCGCATGCCATACATTCGAAGACTGTTCGCTGCTCAAGGTGTGTTCAAAAGACTCTGCTGGATTTTGTCAGTGTCTTCATCCAGGTGAGGGGACTGACTATATCATCTGCATATTCTAAGTCAACGATACTATTATTCCCTGATGGTGACAAGTCAATCACTTAGTCGTTGAAGTCAGCAATCAGGATTAATTCTATTAGTACATCCTACAATGAAATTAAAAAGAAATGAGGAAAGTGGGCACCCCTGACGTGATTCACAATTCACTTGACTGGTGCTCTCTGTATTACGTATTTGAGCCAAGTTAAACTTTAAGCACCACTAACTACCAATCAGCGAACGACGTCGAATAATCCAGTGCGATTCATGAACGTGAGTGTATGGCGCTTGATTCGTTTCAAATGCGTGCCCTAACGAAGTCACGGTTGCAATTCAAGAAGGATAGTGTTTTCCAGTATTGCCTGGATTTAGGATTGCTGCGAAAGAAGAGAATTTGTTCGTGTGGTGGTGTGATGACTTTAACAAGCTTTAGTAGGTCAACTGATGGATATGTCCATCGTTGTGCAATTTGTTTGAAGCGGGTTAGCATTAGAGAAGGTAAGCTGATAATTTTAATATTTCGTAGGAACATTTTTTCCAAGGTCACATCTCTCCTTAAAGCATATTTTGTACATTTGCAACTACTGGGTTTTAAAGCAGCTAATGAAAGCCGCAGCTGATGAAACCGAAAATAACCTCGTCTCAACAGTTCAGTGGTGCCAGGACTGTCTGTCTGTCTGTTTTCGACATAGAACTTTGCACAAATGTGCGGAAGTTCAAGTCGCCACATTCCGTGTAGCACGCGAAGCAAGAGAAGAAAGTACAAGAAAAGCATAATAGAAACAGTGAGCAGAGGTGTGAGACAAAGGAGTAATAAAGAAATACAAAACAGTTTCATTGAAGATCATAAGTCACAGGGAGTGGATGCATCTGCGCCACTGAGAACGATTTTGAGCCATTTCACCAATTGTTTCCAACCATAGATTTTTACCGTCCCGAGGACCCCAGCCTGGAAGTCAACACCTTTCTACGCGGCTTAGACCAACTGTTGTGGATTTCATTGACTGATGCCAAGTTTTTGTTTGACCGCCGCTAGCTTTTTTCCAGCCTGACCCTATATCCGCTGACATTGCTCGTCGAGGGAGGCGATGGCTTGGCATACGTAACACATGTCCTAACCATCTCAGTCTTTGTAGCTTCACGACTTCGTCGATTGATTTCCCCTGTTTACCTAGAACTCGACGCCTAACCTCCATGTTGCTCACCTTATTATGCCACTTTACACGGGAAATAGAACGCAGGCACCTATGATCAAACACAGCTAGTCTTTTCATGTCTTCCACTCTCAGTGGCCAGGTCTCACAACCATACAGGAGGACGGAGCGAACTGATGAGCAGTGCACCCGCCCTTTGGTCGATAGTCGAACATCTCGTCTACGCCAGAGTCGGCGTAAACTAACAAATGCGAAACGAGCCCCTTGTATTCGTGCTGAGATTTCGTCAGAGATCAGCCCGTTGGGGCTGATGGTACTTCCCAAATAAGTGAAGCGGTCAACGTGCTCTACCACTTCACTTCCTATTTTTAAACTAGGCGTCGATGTAGTCCAGTCCTGTAACATCATCTTGCATTTGGCGGGAGCGAATCGCATGCCAAACATTCGTAGATTGCCGCTCAAGGTGCAGGGACATTGCATCATGGAAAATGGAAAAAATCACTTCCTTGTTGGGTGGAGAAGTTATCGTTGTGCACGTGGACAAAAGTGTGTTGCTGAGGAAAAAATGCAACTGCGGTCGTCAGCGAGCCAACAATATTTGGGTAACCGGTTTATATGACACCTCCCTCCGAAAGGGATTCGTGGAGAGAATGCCAGAGAGAAAGGCAACTACTTTAATACCTATAATTACAAGACTTGTAAAACGGGGATCAATAATACATACGGATGAATGGAAAGGTTACAACTCTCTGTCGTCTCTTGGATATATTCATGATAGAGTGAACTATTCAAGTGATTTTGTCGATTCTATTACACACGCACACAAATTCTATTAAAGGATTTTAAGGGAGATTGAAAAATAGAATTAGGGCTATAAATGGATCTCAAAAGGATCTCATTTATAGTCATTTGGATGAATATATGTACAGAATGTGGTGTGACTTTTCTGTTGATAATCCTATGCTTAACTGGAAGATGTTTCTCTAATATGTTAGAGAAAGATACCCCCCAGTAACAGTTTTATCCTTTTTTATGCTACTTTCCTATAAATATACGTTTCCATTTATCATAAATGTCTCTTTGATTGGTCCGTTCAAGGTCGTTTGCTGATTGTTTGTTAGTGGTGTGACAGTTTAACTTTGCCCATATTTGTTATCTAAAAACCTACAATCTTTTTATGACACACCTTTGGAAACATTCCATTTTTGTTGCTATGACAGTCTAACACATACAGTTTAAGAATGATAGATATTACACTGAAAAAAGAATGACTATACTTCGTTAAATAATGCCTCATCAATATTTCTTTCAATTGTGAACATATAGATAAATATATATATTCATTAGAACATACACTTCACACCAAACATGATCTGTCCAATCCATGATAAAACGACACGCATCAAACCATGGTTGATGCGATGAACGTTCAGCTGAGACAATAAATAAAGCAAAACAATTTGCCCATTCACCACATCGGCCAAGACGAGTTTCAAGTAATTTTCTCGGATTGTTATATCGTGGAAATCGATAAGTTGGATGTTGACGATTTGTTTTGCATACATAGACTTCGACTACATTTGCATTACCATCCATTTCATTGGTATTCTGACGAGGTTGATCTACCGAATGGGAAACCATTTTACTCTGAAATTAAGAACAATGGGAACAGAAATTAGAGAATTTTGAAGTAGGGAAGCAAAAACGTACTAGGGGATTTTATGATAAGTTAACAAACACTGTGGTTCTATACTCTAGTGGTTCAATGGTATTATAATTATTATTATTGTTTTCTTTAGTTCCTAGAGGAACATAGGGCATCAGCCACGCACGTCTCCATTCCGTTCGGTTCATTGTCAACGTTTTCACCTGACTGCACGTCTAAGACCCACATGCTTTCATCTCCTCTTCAAACGACTTCCTCCAAGTCACCCTACCATTGACGACCAACTCGCTGATTCCCATTCGAGTTCCACTCGAAGGGCTTGTCTAGTGATGTCACTCGATGATAGTTTGTTTTCTCAGAGTATGGCCAATCCACCTCCACTTCTTCCTGCTTATTTGTTGCACAATCGGTTCCTGCTAGGTTGGTCTGCTCATTGACAGAGATCCCTATTTGCTTATCTTTTCTGGCCGACCTTCTGATCCTGGGTAGTATTGAGCGGAGACAGCTGTTGATGAAGGCCTGTAGTTTGTTTAAAGTGCCTTTCGTGACGCGCCAAGTCTCTGATCCGTATAGTAAGTAGCATCGACTGCACATTGGAGTTGGAAATCCGGATCTTATTTTTGATGCTGAGTAATGATGTTGACCTCCACACAGACTTGAGAGTAGTGAAAGCTTGCCTTATTTTTCCGATCCTCGAACTTTGATATCCTCATCAGTTCCGCCTGCAATTGAAACGATGCTTCTTAGGTAAGTAGGTTGGTAGGCAGGTAGTAAAGGAGGTCGCTTCTTTCGGATTTCTATCATTTATGCTGATTGTTGTCTGTTGTTGTTGTTGCTGTTGGTGTTGCCCTGGTATCTTCATCACCTCTGTCTCCATCTCCTCTACGTTCACCTGAAGTCCTATTTCTGATTGTTCTTCTGTCGCGAACTTGTTACTTTTGACTTGCATATCTTCCAGTTTGTGGGAAATCAGACATATATCATCGGCGAAGTCTAGGTCCTCCAAGTTTTTTGTGCGCGTCCATTTTATGCCTGTCTACTCGTCACCCACTGTCTGTCTGTCACATTATCCAGTCTACCGCAATTAAGAAATTAATCATTGGAGATAGTAGACAGCCATCTTGTCTTACTCCCGTCCTCACTTCGAAGGATTCCGTAAGTTTCTCGTTGTGGATTACTTAGAATGCAGCATTGCCGTACAACTGTTGAATGAGATATATAATTGTCAGCGACACCCCATAGTAGCAAAGCACTTTCCGAATCACCTTTCGATCGACGCTGTCAAAGGCCTTTTCAAAGTCAATGAAGTTGAGATAGAGAGGTGACTGTCATTCCAAGCTTTGTTTAATGATGATCCGTAGTGTGGCGATTTCTTTCTCCTCAATCCAGCCTGTTCCTCTCTCAGTTTTTCATCCTGGGCGTGTGTTGATTCTCTCCAGGATGATACGACTTGGCATTTTGCTTGGGATGGACAGGAGTATAATGCTGCGCCAGTTCTTGAATTAACCCAAGTCCCTTTTCATTGGCAGTTCGAATAAGTAGCTTTTCTTCCAATCCACAGGTTCAATGGTATAATCCTCACCAACCACGCACACGCAGTCCGTAGTTCGACAGTCCCGGCCGAGACATACTCGCAAACCTTGCTTAACTGGTAGTAGACCTGGTAAAGAGGGAAGGTTAAGTGTGACGGGAGAACAACCTCACCCGGTCGTCAAACAAACAAAGCGGCACCAGTTCTACTGAAACTTCAAGGCTCAACCTTGAAACCCTACGCTCCACTAGGAATGCAAAAGGAATCGGGAGAGATAAGATTTTAAAGTGCTTAAAAATTATTTTTTTTCCTGTTCCTTTACGTCTCCAGTGGAACATAGGGCGACTTCAAGCTAGAGGCTTGAAGTTTCGGTAGCTGTGGTGTTTATTCCTGAAGAATGGAGTTGCTAACCTCATGCCTATAATCTTCCCTCTTTGCCAGTTCTATTACTGACTTAGGGAGGTAAAGGAATGCGTCCGTGACCGGGAATCGAACCCCGAACCACATGCACTCGTGGTTGGCGAGCATTCTACCGCTGTGCCACCAACGCACTAAAAATTATTTTTTTTAATATAATTATAGAACACGATCTAAGCAAGCAAATACGTGTGTTCGGTAAATTTTCATCAGACTTTACATTTATATAATGATGGAATATTAGCCACAGGCATTTGAATGATGAATGTGGTCAATAGAATACAGGATCGGATAACAATCGAAATGATCCTAATAATAATAATAATAATAATAATAATAACAAGGATAAATTGTTTCAAATGTTTATATAATATAGGCAACGGTTAGTGTATAGGTAGAGAATGTGTATACTATTAGGAGGGGTAGAGGAGGAAATAACTATTGTCACATAGCAATTTGATAATATAATAATAATAATAAATTGTGAAACAGAGAATAAAATGCACAACTACAGCCCACAACACGATGTTGATAATACAGTCAGCATTACAAATAAGACAAAATGAAAATATATGATAAGATAATATTTACAGTTATCCGGTTTGTCACCGGGAGAGATACCTATTTTAGCTTGGATGTGAAGGTAAAGAGAGGAAGAGAGACTGAACAAACTCTTCTCTGAGCACAGAGATTGGGTTGAAAAATCATTATGGCAACTGCCTCAATTAGGCTTAGCAACTGAAGACGTACTAACCTACATAGAATTGTAAAAGCTGAATTTTTGTCAGTCTTATGCCCTGTATCTACTGAGTGTGCCATATATTTACACAAGATACGAATGAGTGACTGGATTCTAACATAGAACATTGCAGAGAAGCACAGCAATTTAAGCTGCCATACTCCATGTAGCCCACAAAGGTAGAAAAATTAAACTACATGCAGAAATGTGAGGGGGAAGGAGAAGAACATGGAAAAATATGACGATTTAGTGGATATATGGGGTGATCACAGGGAGTAAATGCATATGCGTCAGTAAGAACTATTTTGAGCCATATCACCAACTGTCTCCAGCCTTTACTGTGGTTCTCAACAACCTAAACACCCCAACTGGGAAGACTACATACACCTCCGTAAATGGCTTACCCAAACCAACTTTCAAAGACTTGATGGACTGATACCCCGTAAATGGGGTATGATAGATGCTGGAAGACTTACTCCGGCGAGCTCCGAATTCAATGAGGAGCGAAAGCTGCACAAAAGGAAACTTACGAAAAGTCTCCGCAAGGACCGTGAACAGTGGTGGCTGACAAAGGCAAAAGAGATGGAAAAAGCATCGGCGATAGGCAACACTAGGCAACTCTTTAGACTCATCAGGGAAACGGGTGGGAGAAGGCAAATCATAAGTGAGACTATTTCTGAGAAAAATGGCTCCTTAATTAGCTCTCAGGATAGACGCCTTGAACGCTGGAAAGAACACTTTGAGGGAAAATTTAACTTGCCTACAGCCACACTGAACCTCCCCGACATCCAGCACACACCCGAATGGGATATAGACACTGGTCCGCCGTCTGTAAGTGAGGTCACAAAAGCTATCAGTAATTTGAAACGAGGCAAAGCGGCAGGACCCGACGGAATTATTCCGGAGGTGTTTAAATATGGGGGTGACATACTAGTTTGTAGATTAACTGAGGTACTAGGCAAAGTCTGGGAATCAGAGACAGTTCCATCAGACTGGGGTAAGTCACTTATTATACCGATATTCAAGAAGGGAAACAAGTCCTCGTGTGATAATCATAGGGGGATCAGCCTAACGAACATAGTCTCTAAAATCCTAGGCTCAGTAATCATGCATAGACTAAGCAGAACTCGGGAGGAACAGACAAGGGAAAATCAAGCAGGCTTTAGACCAGGTAGAGGGTGCATAGATCATATCTTCACTCTTCGACAGATTCTAGAACATAGACACACTTTTCGGCGTCCAACAATTGTCATATTTCTTGACTTGAAGGCGGCCTTCGACTCCGTGGATCGAAAGGTACTATGGCAATGTCTGACTGTGAAGGGAGTGCCAAGAAAGTACATTGCACTAATCAAGGCACTCTATTCAAACTCACGTAGTCGTGTAAGGGCTTATGGGGAATTGTCATCTGAATTGGTAACAACCAGTGGTGTCCGACAGGGATGTCCACTTTCCCCATTTCTGTTTAACTTCATCATAGATATGCTGATGGAAGTATCCTTAACTGAACGTAATGACTTAGGAATCGACTTGTTACCAGGGAATAGTCTTATGGACTTAGAATATGCAGATGACATAGTCCTGTTAGGGGAGGATGCTGACAAAATGCAGAGTCTTCTGAACACCTTGAGCAGCAATCTTCGTATGTTTGGCATGCGATTCGCCCCTACAAAATGTAAGATGCTGCTACAGGACTGGACCACGTCAACTCCCAACTTAGTGATAGGGAGTGAAGTGATAGAACATGTTGACCACTTCACCTATTTGGGAAGTTGTATTAGCACCAACGGACTGATTGGCGATGAAATCTCAGCACGGATCCGAAAAGCTCGAGCTGCTTTCGCTGACTTACACCATCTCTGGCGTAGGCGTGACATCCGGTTATCAACCAAGGGACGTGTGTACTGCTCAGCAGTTCGCTCCGTCCTTCTCTATGGCTCTGAAACATGGCCAATACGCGTTGAAGACATGAAAAGGTTGACTGCTTTCGATCATAGATGTCTGCGATCTCTGTCTCACGTTAGGTGGTTTAATAAGGTAAGTAATGTTGACGTTAGGCGTAGAGTGTTGGGCAAAGAGGGAAAATCAATCGACGAGGCTATAAAGTTACATAGACTAAGATGGCTAGGTCACGTGCTGCGCATGCCTAACCACCGCCTCCCCCGACGGGCATTGCTAGCTGATATAGGTGCAGGTTGGAAAAGAGCCAGTGGTGGCCAAACAAAAACATGGCATCAATCCATGAAATCCTTGACAGTTAAACTGAGTCAGGTAGGGAGATGCAGACTCCCGGGTTGGGGCCCTCGGGACTCTAGGAATCAATGGCTGGAGACAATAGGTGACATGGCTCAAAATCGTTGTCAATGGCCAGCGCAGATGTATTCAGTCTCTGTAATCTTTCATATTCCTTTCTACCATTACCCATTCTGTTTCACTCTTATACTTGTCAAACTCTATTGATTCCCTTCACTCATCTTCTTGTCTACCTCTGTGTGCTATTTGGAACGTGGCAACTCGAACTGGTGCACTTGGGTGCCGAGTTCTATGTTGAATCCAGACAGACAGACAGATACCCCGTAACTGCTTTTAGTCTAATCGCTATCTTAACAACCTTCCTGGCATGGTAGGGCGTGCAGGAACAACAGTTCCAGCCAGTGTAGCTTGTTGAGTCATTGTGATATGCAAGCCCGGCGACCACCACGTCAAGGTACCAACTACCGGTCGGGCCAACAACAACAACCACGCTCATACACTACTCACTTTGTCATAAACACATACTCACCTACGCAAAATTAGAAATAAGCGAATCAGCACGACAAGCGATCCCATCAGATATCATATCGTACGTACACACACACACAGTCTCTCTGCATTCGAACTTATAGGCATATTTAAACTCTCAATATGCACAAATCACTTTAGCTGTAGACAGGATTCACTAGCTATATACACACACACTAGTGAGTTTTATACAGCAATATAGCAGACATCCAACAGTAAGTAGTCAGTCACCAAACAAACGAAATAATCAACCAACAAACCACACAATCAACAATAAAATGCAATCACATACATGCATGCAACAATAAAACTGATAATTCATGCCTAAGCAATAAAACACTTGCAAAATCAGCCTAAAATACACTCTACGTTATCCCACCACTCCGAAAAAAATCACTTACAAATACTCACATGTACAGTTATTTACACCACATACATGTCGTCTACAACAATTGACTATACCCAGAGAATACAAATTCACCCCTACTATTGGCCATTGAAAGTGGAAGACATGAAAAGACTAGTTAACTAGCTAGCTGTCTTTGATCACAAATGCCTGCGTTCTATCTCTCGTGTTTAGTGGTGGTATAGTAGGGTAGAGTGCTAGGTAGATGGGAGGAGAAATCAATAGACGAGGCTGTGTAGTTGCACCGATTGACAGAGACAGTTAAGACATGTGTTACACATACACGCCTAGTCATCGCCTTCCTCAACCGACGGCCGATGTTAGCTGCTGACATAGGATGGATCAGGTTGGAGAAGAGTTCGCTGGTGGTGGGTGGTCAAACCAAAACACGTGTTCATCAGTCAATAAAATAAATCCACTAGTTATTTTAAGCCAGCCAGCCACGTCGGGAGGTGTAGACGTCTTGGTTTGAGTCTTCTACATGGTAAACACCGATGATAGCTGGAAACAATTATCGGTGATATGGCTCAACATCGTTCTCGGCGATGGTTATTACTGTTTTGCAACTCATTTTCAATCCTTTGTTCTCCTGCAGCTTAGCAACTATTGCCAAACAATTATTCATCACCTAACTAATTTAACATAAGATAATAATAGCTTTATTCCAAAACAGTACTTGTGATACAGAATGGAATTTTCAGTATTTTACTACAATATTGTATCCAGTTAGTAAATTAACAATAAATAAAGTTCTGCATAGATTAAGGTAATCTCAGTTAGTTTTGACAACAACATATTAGAATGTCGGTAGCAAAGCCAAAATTAAACAGAGTGTTAGAAGGCATTTAGAAAAGTAGGTTCTAGCATATTCACTGGCGTAAACAGAAGAAACAAAGCTGCACATAACAGAAAAAAGGAGGGAGAAAATGAAAAGAAAGAGAAAAAACGCTGTACCTATAAATGATATGAGTTGGAGAGATGAGATCCAGTTGTTCTACTGACTATTTAATAAGTTGTCAACCCTTTTGGTTACGTGAAACTATGCTTAATTTTTGAAAAACGCTGCTATTCCTCATACACTTTGTTTTATATTTTGTTACTAAATGACAATAAACTCTGACCTCTGTTGTCAATTAACATCGTGTATATAATAAACTCTGTGCGTCGGTGGCACAGCGGTGGTAGAATGCTCGCCAACCACGCGCGCATGTGATTCGGGGTCCGATCCCCGGCCACGAACGCACTCTTTTACTTTGCCAAACCGGTAATAAGACTGATGGTTAAGAAGGGAATTTGGGCTGGGTATGAGGTTGGCTAGCAACCCCATCCCATAAAAATAAAAAACACCACAGCTACCGAAAGTTCAAGCCTCTAGCTTGAAGGCGCTCTATGTTCCAATGGGACCGTGAAGGAATAAAAAGGAAAAAAATAATAATATAAACCCCCTCTAAATAAATGTACAGCCTGGAAGTGAAATCACGAAAAGAGATCTCTTTGCTGACTTAGGTGTTCCCTATTGAAATTTCTAAACTCTATTAAGCCTTATGCCTAACTCAGAATGCAAGGAAAGCAAGACAAGCTTTCATTAGTCTCAAGTCTGTGTGAAGATCAACAGCACTACTCAGCATGAAAAATGAGATCCGGATTTCCAACCCAGTCAGTGCTACTTACTATACGGATCAGAGACTTGGCGCGTCATGCAGAGCACCTCAAACAAACTACACACCTTCAATAACAGCTGCCTTCACTCAATACTCAAGATCAGATAGTCAGAAAAGACCAGCTACCAATCAGGAACCGATTGTGCAACAAATATGCAGGAAGAAATGGAATTAGGTGGATTAGACTGACTATACTCTGAGGAAACCATCAAGTGACATCACTAGACAAGCCATCGCTCGAGTGGAACCCGAAAGGGAAGCGGCGAGTTAGTCGTCAGTGCAAGGGTGACTTGGAGGTGGTCATGTGAAGAGGAGATGAAAGTGTGTGCGCAGACTTGGAGCGGGGTGAAAAAGTTGGCAGAAAACCGAACGCAATGGAGACGTGCAGCTGAAGCCCTATATTCCTCTAAGAATTAAAGGGAATAATAATTATATAATAATAATAATAATAGAATACCAGGAATGAAGGAAATAAGAACCATTCGAAGCTATTATCCATTAGATAGACAATGATATCATCAACAATGTGATGACGATTACAAAGAGAATATACACGCATATATATAAAAGAAAAACTTACCCCACATGTTTGACACTCAAAATTATCAGCCCATTTAAAGAATTCACTCTTGAACCAAGACATTAATTCGCGAAGAAAGTCTTCAGGCTTCACTTCATCCTGAGAACAACCATTATTTTGACAAGCAGATAATAGGAGCTGTTCACTAGGAATTAATTCACGTGCCTGTTTCTATGATACAAAAATAAACAAGAAATACAGAAGGATCGAACCAACAATCAACGGACAATAGTGAAAAAGTAATCGTCAATTAGCAGGAGTTGGAGTTCATGCACTGCCTGGCCACTGGATCGGGTGGGACTCAATGGTTTAATGGTCTACGAGCTCGCTAGCTTTGTAACCAGAAGATCCCGGCTTCTAACCCCTATGGGTTAGGTGCTGGGTACTGTTGAAGAGTCTCATGATGAAATCCCAAAAATTAGTAAGACAACCAAAGTCTTTTTGTAAACGGAGCTAGATACACCGCTGATGAACATTAGACCCCCCACTCCAAATGAGTGTCTAGATGCCCTTGATCTGGCAAACTAACAAGCAATATAGATTGATGTGACAGGTATCCAACTACTTATTGTAATTATTCAGTAGTATATAGTTTTGTGCAAAAGAAAACAGGATCTATCTAAAATAAAAAAATATTTCCATATGGATAAGTTAGGTTAGATAGTGATGAACTAATCGTCAAATGACCTAGGAATGAAATACAAAAAAATTGCACAGTCTACTTGATTACTACTTACCTGTAACTCAGGATCCATATAGTTTAAGACAAAATTCCGATAAGTAAGCATTTTATCTATAAAGTTTAATTCTGAATTTGTCAACTCCATAGTCTCATGTTGTGATTTTGCAGCATTAATAGATGGCTAAGTTAAAAGAGAAAACGGAACAAAAGAAAAACGGGAATGAGAAGCGAGCCCTCAGTGGAACGTAAGGCTTCAAGCTCTCAGCATTGAAGTTTCAGGAATAACAGTGTAGCGTTCTTTTTTACGCGGGCCCAACCTCCCGTCTTTACCGAATTAAACGTCAATTAGGCGAGGTTTTTAGAGGAGGAGTTTGTCGACCGGAGATCGGTCCCTGGACCATGTACGCAGTTGGTAAGCATTGTAACGCATCAATGATATATATATATATATATATATATCATCAATTTACGTATAGATAGCTGCATTGGAAGCATATACATTGGAAGAACAGAAAGAAGGATCAATCTCAGATTTTATGCCAGAACACATATCGAAAATTCTGCGATTAAGACAAAGTAGATCTTTGAGCAGAGCAGTCATGAAATAGCCTAATCGACACAGGATAGTAGGGAGACATCCTGCATTCCTTTAAAATAATTAGCAGTAAAGCTGAAGTCTCGTGGAATTCATAGAGGCTAACTCGGTATCGAACTATTAAAACTAGACTTTTGTGACAAGTCTTTCTCTACCTTGGTAACTCGTCTTTTTTAACCTCAATTGATGATTATATCATCTATTCAGTGTATGTAAATGTTGACATCTTTTCACCCTTACTTAGTCATGTCACCGTTCACTCACTAAGCGTCATTATTCATATGTCTGATATCCAACCTAATGAGCTTAATCTCATAGTATTTTTTTGCATGCTTCATATTGACAGTTTTCCAATGACTTATATAACTTTATAATGTATACGTCTCAGTACCTTCTTGCTACCATTGCTTGCTATTTTTTTGTCTTATTCGAAGAACTTCGATCACATTTCTATTATTATTGTATTATTATCCCCCTGTTGAGCAAACTACAGACCTTCATCAACAGCTGCATTCGCTCAATACCACTCAAGATAAGATGGCCAGCCATTCCAACAGTGGTGTGAACACGAAATATTACCAATAACAAAACTTATCATTGTGTGTATACCACCACAGTGCCAAAGTTTTATACTTACACCAAATGAAACATGATTTCAAGTATGATTTTATTATTATCGTTGAAGAAACTAAAGTTTGAAAGCTTTATATCACTATGAGTAACACATCACTGCCTAACAAATATTTTATTTTGGTCTGAGCGTTCGGGGAGTAGCATACCCGTCCCCCGTCCCCCACCCAACAAACGATGAGATATTTATGTGGCATATCTCCCAGTGCTCATAATGTACTACGTTTGTATTTTAATATAATAAATAATAAAAGAATATATATATAAACCCCTGATATAGATCCTTGAGAAACGTTAACATACCAAACATGACTTCAGCTGGTTAAGCAGCTTTCTTGATTGACTGAGATCAGCTGTAATAGGCAAGACAAAGGCATCATCTGCCTCCTTGAAGTTAAAAGAAGAAGAAGAAGAATGAAAAGGAAATCGGTTATATGATACTGACAGAACTCCCAGTAGTCATGAAGTCAAAAAAATACTTCCAGGATAATCATCGTTAACATAAAACTAGTCAGATAGTGATGCATTACTACTGCAATACGAATGATTATTAAAAGTGATGATGAAACTTTAATATCTTCATAAAATGACAGACAAACAGAAAGATAGACAGATCAGCGAATAAACACCGAATTTTCCTGAAAAGTGCAGACGATTTAGTCATTCTAGGCGAGGACGCTGACAAAATAAATCAGAGTATTCTGAACACCTTGAGCTGCAATCTATGAATGTTTGGCATGCGATTCGCTTCTCCCGCCAAATCTAAGATGATGTTACAGGACTGGACTACACTGACTGCTAGTTTAGAAACAGTGAGTAAAGTGGTTGGTGGAGCATCTTGACCGCTTCAATTATTTGGGAAGTTGCATCAACCAATGTCAACAGGTTGACCGCTGACGGAATTTCACCACGGATACAGAGGGCTAGTTTCGCATATGCCAGTGTGGTGAGAGCAGGCTGCTAGCCGATTGGTTGGCACTAATCTACGTTAAGGTCTAGGTCACTAATATGGGCCGTGAGAAAATATGAACAAGCCTGAGTCAACAACCAATCACAGTAAAGTTAACGTGGCAAAATATGATTCGCAGAGAGAACTCTATTTGTCAAGGAATCCCGAAACAACCAATCAGAAGCCTGCGTTTGTCTACCTAAACAACCAATCAGATGACTGCGCTTGTCTATAATAATGTAGTTGAAAGATGTATAAATACGTGTTGATTTTCATAATAAAACGATCTGTTGCCTGGCCCTTGTCTTCTGTTGTTACATTTGGTGTCGCTGCCTACCGACAAATGGAAAGCCTATGCCCTGCTGTTTTCGATGGAGACATATGGATCTTCGGGCAGGACTTCAAGGCTTCTGCGCAGTTGATTGGCGTTCAAGATCTGTCAGCGATGGAGCTGCTACTTGGGACGCTGCTGGGAGGTCGGGTGAAAGCAGCATATGAAAGTGTGAGCCGAAGTATGGACGAATGTTCGACAGGGTCAGGCAAACAGTTTCCAAAGTGGGAAGGACCATATATGGTCACTTCGAGATGGGGTTACGCAGACACAGTCGCAATGACGAACAATAAGAGGCGCGTGAACGTCAGCGAGCTCCAGAAACGGATACAGCGAGACAAGCCAACGATGACGCCTGCACCAAGTAGATCAAGCCGACTTCAGTCGCACGTATTTGACGGGGGGACGAGTGTGGTGAGAGCAGGCTGCTAGCCGATTGGTTGGCACTAATCTACGTTAAGGTCTAGGTCACTAATATGGGCCGTGAGAAAATATGAACAAGCCTGAGTCAACAACCAATCACAGCAAAGTTAACGTGGCAAAATATGATTCGCAGAGAGAACTCTATTTGTCAAGGAATCCCGAAACAACCAATCAGAAGCCTGCGTTTGTCTACCTAAACAACCAATCAGATGACTGCGCTTGTCTATAATAATGTAGTTGAAAGATGTATAAATACGTGTTGATTTTCATAATAAAACGATCTGTTGCCTGGCCCTTGTCTTCTGTTGTTACACCAGTTGACGCCGTCTCTGGCGTAGACGTGATTTCCGGCTGGCTGTCGACCAAAGGGTGGGTGTACTGCTCATCAGTCAGCTCCGTCCTCCTTTATGGCTGTGAAATGTGGCCATTGAGAGTGGAAGACATGAAAAGATTAGCTGTGTTTGATCTTAGGTGCCTGCGCTCTATCTCTCGTGTGAAGTGGTATAATAAGGTGAGCAATATTGAGGTTAGGCGTCGAGTGCTAAGTAAGGAGGGGAAATCAATCGACGAGGCTGTGAAATTACATCGACTGAGATGGTTACGACATGTGTTACGTATGCATGTCTAGTTAACGACTTCCTCGACCGACTGGCAATGTTAGCTGACATAGGGTCAGGCTGGAAAAGAGCTAGTGGCGGTCAAAACAAAACACGGCCAGATCAGTCAATGAAATCCACAACAGTTAGTTTAAGCCAGACAAGTAGGAAGGTGTAGACTTCCTGGTTGGCTGGTTGGGGTCCTCGGGGCGGCGAAAATCAATGGCTGGAAACAAATTTATTATTTTACTTTTGATAACAACTTGATTCCACACTGTATTTTTGGTACAAGAATGGAATTTTCAGCATGGATATCGGTAGCCCAAGTTTTGGAGGTCGACCATAGATATCAGGTGTGCGTCGGCAGGGGATCGAACCTCGGACCATGTGCATGGTCGGCGAGAGTCCTAACCACTGGCTCAAATTCATCGTTCTCAACGGCGCAGATGCATCCACTCTTTCTGACTTATAATTTCCCTATGAAACTATATTATTCTTCGTTATTACTATTCCTTCTGTGTCTTATCCCTGTCTACTCTCTCTTCTTCTACTTTTTTCTCTTGCTTTGTGTGCTACATGGAGGGAGTATGGCGGTCTGAACGGCCGCACATCTGTGCAAAGTTCTATGTCGAAAACAGATAGACAGACAGGTCTACAATGGTACAGGTCAAAACACGAGAACAATAAATGGGACAATAATGTAGTAGACAAATGTACGTGCGTGTCTGTGTGTGTGGTAGAATAACTTAAGGAAGATTACTGATCATCAGGATTTTGAAGACAAAAAGTTACACAAGATGTAGTGAGTTATTATTTCACCTATTCTTAAACAACTGATGTTTAGCATCCTGAGAGCACTAAAATATCAACCTAGAATCAAGAAGCAATAATCTCATGAAATAATGCGGTGTTTTGATCTAACCACCCCCTGAACTTCTTGCCGAATTAATTCTACTTTAGTTAGTAGTACTCATCTAACAAGGGAAACCAGTTGTGTACGATTATCTTACATTTGACAAGGGGGAAGCGTATACCACCATACACGAATCCGGATTTCTGTTCAAACTATTCACAAGACTCTTCATCACTAACATGATCGATTCGGGGTGGTAAATCAACTCAAGAGACATCGAGTAAATAGATCTACATTTGTTACTGCGTTTATATGGTAAAGGTAGATAGGCACAGTGACATGATGCGACCCTGAAGAATCTGTGTGTTTTCAACATAGACCTTTGCACATATGTGCACCAGTTCAAGTCGCCACACTCCCTCCATGTAGCACACAAAGCAACAGAAGAAAGTAGAAGAAATGCATAGTAGAGACAGTAAACAGAGGTGTCAGAAAAAGGAATAGTAATAACGAAGAACGATATAATTTCATTGGAAATCATAAGTCACAAGGAGTGAATGCATCTGCACCAGCCATTGAGAACGATTTTGAGCCATATCATCAATTGTTTCCAGCCACCATTGGTTTTAACCGTCCAGAAGACCTCAACCAGTTAGGAAGTCTACACCTTCCTACTTGTCTGGCTTAAACTAACTGTTGTGGATTTCATTGACTGATCTGGCCGTGTTTTGTTTTGACCGCCACTAGCTCTTTTCCAGCCTGACCCTATGTCAGCTAACATTGCCAGTCGGTCGAGGAAGTCGTTAACTAGACATGCATACGTAACACATGTCGTAACCATCTCAGTCGATGTAATTTCACAGCCTCGTCGATTGATTTCCCCTCCTTACTTAGCACTCGACGCCTAACCTCAATATTGCTCACCTTATTATACCACTTCACACGAGAGATAGAGCGCAGGCACCTAAGATCAAACACAGCTAATCTTTTCATGAAGAATACTCTCAGTTGTAATCATTTTAAACGACAACCCCTGTGATAAGCTTTTAGGCGTCTGCATGGATTCAAGATTTTACAAATCCACTGAAATAAAAAGCATGAGGATATTTTACCTCAGTGAGTAATCTTCACTAGAGTCTATTACCACTTACATACCAGCTAATTTATAAAGACTAAGCCTAAGAATGAATTCCGCAGATTCTTCACAGTGGTCAACCACACTTGAGTCGCTTAAGCATATCTCAGATTTGCTGACGACACCTCAGTATGGATACAGAAAGCTAGTTTACGCCGTCTCTGGCATAGACGTGATATCCGGCTGGCTGGCTATCGACCAAAGGACGTGTATACTGCTCAGCAGTCCGCTCCATCCTCCTCCTTTATGGCTGTGAGTGAGACGTGACCACTGAAAGTGGAAGACATAAAAATCCAGTGTAGCTAGCTGTCTTTGATCACTAGTCCCTGTGTTCTATCTCCTGTGTGAAGTGGTGGTATAATAGGGTGAGCAGTATTCAGATTAGGTATCGGTTTAGCGCTAGGTAGATTGTGAAGTTACATCGACTGAGATGGTTAGGACATGTGCTACACATGCACCCCTAGCCATCGCTTTCCTCGACCGACGGCCAATGTTAGCTGCTGACATAGGATGGATCAGGATGGAAAAGAGTTAGCTAGTGGTGGGTGGTCAAACTAAAACATGGCCTCTTCAGTCAATGAAGTCCATAACAATTAGTTTAAGCCAGCCAGCCAGAGGTGCAGGGAGGTGTAGACTTACGGACCGGATGATTGGGGTCATCGGGACGATAAAAACCAATGACGACTGGAGACAATTATCGGTGATATGGCTTAAGATCGTTCAGATACATCCACACCTTGTGACTTACAATACCCAATTAGACTATATGGTTCTGCAATATTACTATTTTTTTCTCATATCTCTGTTTGGCATTCGTTCTACTGTTTTCTCTTACTTTAAGTGCTAAATGAAGTGTGGTGCCTCGAGCTGCTGCACACCGGAGCAAAGTTTTACGCTGAAACCAGTCAGTCAGTCTCAGATTTATAAACTACATTAGTAGCTGAGAATACCAGAGTTTTAGTCAGTCTTTTTACTCAATTTAGCATAAGATATAGACATTATAAGCTTTAAAGTGTGCAGTTGCCAGCATGATCTTAAGAAATTTTAAAAAATTTTCTGACAGCTTAATATCATCTTCACTGTTACGATAAAAAGCTGTGTGAGGAATAATATTGGCAGTATGATACAAAGTTAAAAGCTGTCCTGGGTTTGAATCTCGGTGGGTGAGTAGTGATGAAGAGTCCCAAACTAGGATGAAACAGCTGTCCAGTACTCCATGCAGGTTTTCCAATGGTTTTTTGTGTGGTCAGCTCATGATGTAATCATCCAACCAATCAAACAATCTCTACAAAACCAATAAATGGAAAGGTTTGGATATTAGCCACATATAATTTTGCAAAACTGATCAACCAATGCTCTCCTCACAAGAGAAAGACACCTCATCACTATGTACACATGATACCAACGTCTACACGAACCCAATATCAAAGCGAAATGCTGAAGTGATTTTATTCAATGCATAAATCGTTGTCGAGTACAACAACACAGCGAAAAGATTTTGTACAGTATAAGAGGTGCACAAAAACAAAGGGAACGTAGTCTATGGATCATTTAGAACGACGTAGTAATAGTGCCTCTAAAATGACTACATTCGATTACAGCCCGCTTTACCTTAAAATTGCCATAGTAAGAATTTCAGATGGAAAGAAATGTTTAGATTTGTAATCGGCAGAAGTAAAAGATATAAAAAAGCCAGAAACACAAGCGCTGTAGTTTACCTGAAAGCCTGCAGAAAATAAGAAGTCCATACATCCAGGGATGACTAGTAAAGTCTCAGTGAAATCAGTACTCGTCAAAGTAACCCGGCGACAAGTTTCGTCTTGAGGATTGGTCAAGATCTTGTTCATAATCTTATGCAAACATTCAAAAGCCCGCATTTTCTCTTCATTATTTTCATGAAGCTTAAGTTGTATGAGCGAGTAATCTAGCGAAAATTCATCCAGAACAGCTCGTAATTTGCTGAGATTGCCGCCTAAAGCCAGGTTTTAAACCCGATGTCATTTAAGTGTAACTAACCGACAATTGTTCGAACACAACGCTCATCCTGATACAATTTAAAAGTTGGCAAAGCAGATATGCCTTCTTGTCGAGAAAGTTCTCTGCAATGTTCCGTATTCACTTTTAGAAATACGAAGTTTTTTGGTTGATACTCTGCAGACAGTGCCTCAAAATGAGGCGCAATATAACGACATGGTCCGCACCAGTCTGCATAGAAATCCACTATCAAAATATTCCCAGATTTAGAGCAGCTGCGCAAAGTCTCCTTGAATTCCGGCACACTACTGATTACACGCATTAAACGACCTTGGATTTAAATATGCCCCACTGGCAGTAGACGTGTATGCAAAGATATCCAATATGTATCTAATATGTAATTAGTATTCAGGAAGTTTCACATTAGTTTGTCTATCATCAGTTGAAAAATCCTATATATTGTAGAAAATCTAAATCAAACAAGGTTGAGCTACATGGGAAGTGTGAATCTATTGTGCTTCTGTGTATTTTTGGGAACAAAAAGAAATTGTAGAGCAATCAGAAACCCTTAAAAGGTAACTGCTACCTATGTTTGTCAGTGCTTAATGTGTTATTATTTCCTTTAATTCCTAGAGGAACATAGGGCCTAAGCTACACGTCTCCATTGTGTTCGGTTCTTAGCCAACATTTTCGCCTGACTCCACGTCCGCCGACATGCTTTCATCTTATCTTCACATCACCTCCTCCAAGTCACCCTCGCAATGACGACTGACTTGCACTTCCCTTTCGGGTTCCACTTGAGCAACTGTTTGTCCAGTGATGTCACTTGATGATTTATTTCCTCGGAGTAAAGCCAAAAATCCATCTCCATTTCTTCTTGCATATTTGTTTCACAATCTGTCCCTGGTTGTTTCGCTCCCAGAGATCCCTGTTGCTAATCTTTTCTGGTCATATGATCTTGAGTGGCATTGAGCAAAGACAACTGTTAATAAAGGTCTGTAGTTTGTTGGAGATGCCCTTTATGACGCACTGGTCAAGTCTCTGATCCCTATATTAAGCATCACTGACTTCACATTGCAGTTGGAAATCCGGATCTTATTTTTCATCCTGATTAGTGCTGTTGACCGCCACACAGACTTCAGAGTAATTAAAGCTTGTCTTGCCTTCCCGATCCTTGCTTTGATACTCTCGTCAGTTTCGCCTGTATCTGAAACGATGCTTCCCAGGTAGCTAGGTAGAGGAGGTTGGTTCTTTCAAATTCCTCCCAATTATGCTGATTGTTGTCTGTTGTTGGTGGTGTTGGTGTTGCCCAGAAATCTCCATCATTTCTGTTTCCTCCATGTTTACTTGGAGTCCTAACTTTGATGCTTCTTCTATTAACTTGTTGATTTTCACTTGCATATCTTTCAGCTTGTGGGAAATCAGAAAATATACCATCGGCGAAGTCCAGATCCTCCAAGTTTCTTGTAAAAGTGGGTCCATTTTATGCGTGTTTCCTCCATACCCACCGCTGTCTGTCGCATTATCCAGTCTACCACAATCAGGAAAATCATTGGCGACAGTACGCAGCCAGCCGGCTTGTCTTCCTTTCGTCTTCACTTCGAAGTATTCCGTAATTTTCCCGTTGTGGATTACTTGGCATGCGGTATTGTTGTACAGCTGTTGGATGAGGTGTATAATTGTCGATGGTACCCCGTAGTAATGAAGTAGTTGCCAAATCACCTCTCGATCGACGCTGTCTGTCGAAGGCCTTTGCAAAGTCGGCGAAGTTGAGATAGAGAGGTGACTGACTGCCATTCCTAAGCTTTGCTCAATGATGATCCGTAGTGTGGCGATTTGATCAATAAATGACTTGTTTCTCCTGAATCCAGCTTGTTCCGGTCGACGTTTTTTGTCCATGGTGGCGTGTTTGATACTCTCCAGGATGACGCGACCTAGTATTTTGTTTCGGATGGAAAGGGGCATAATTCCGTGCCAGTTGTTGCATTGACTTAAGTCTCCTTTCTATGGCAGTTTGAATAAGTATCTTTTCTTCCAATCCTCGAGTACTTCGCCCTCTTTCCACAACTTCTCCAGCATTGGCGTTGTCAATGGAGTCGAAGATTGAAAGAAAAATTCATGGTTGTTTGCTCAAAATCAAATTCCCCAATTTTCGCGGAGGCATCAATACGACATTCATCGTCTCATCGGTCGCTGTTCAGAAAGAAGTCAGTAGGAAACCATCAGAAGTAATCTTATGATTTATTATTGTAATATTGGTTCACAGAACTTAGAGGAAGATTCTTTATATGTTAGTGTTAAAACAAAGAATTCTCAAGTGGCCAATCGGTGTTTTGGTTTTTGCGTCCGTTATAACTAAGCGTTTCTGAAAAACTTCAAGGAACAGCGTGAGCTCGAGCGTAGCAAGAGCTGGGCATTAACGGTTTACGGGACGTGGCTGACAGTTTCTGACGATAGAAACAGATCTGGCGGATTCAAACAGTTGGTGAAAGTTTGGATAGTCGCCGTTCATCTTTCCTGGTGCCGGTCAAGTCCTCTTTGAACAAGCAATATCTGGAACTTTTTTGGAATTGGGTCAAGTTCAACAATGCCTGGGTCAAAGAAGGGACAGAGTGTCTTGGATGCAAACAGGAAAGTAAGTCATGGTGACTTGTCTGTTAATTGTAACGATGTGTCTGATGTTAAACATGACATGGTTGATGTTACCGTTTCGCCGTTCAGGGATAATAGGAACATCAAACTCCCTAAATTTGAACCACGGTGTTTTGATGGAAACCCAGCTGATTATTTACAATTTGTAAAGGAGTTTGAGATCATGCTGAATAGTTTTCTATTAAATGATGAATTGAAGTTAATGTATTTGATGAGATATTGCACTGGAGATGGTTCAAGAGCTATACAGTGCTGTAAGCACATGAAGCCAAAAGAGGGCTACGATGAGGCTATGAGCATATTACGTCAAATGTTTGGAAGACCTTCGATGATTGCAGGGAAATTATTCGAGGCTGTTAAGGATAATGGAGGTCAATTACAGGATGACTCCCAGGCACTCACTGAGTTTCTCGATAATTTGCTGATTCACAAGAATGCATTGATTTCGATGAATCGCATGAGTGACCTCAACTCGAGTTTTATCCTAGAAGTAATAGCGAGACGCCTACCTACTCGACTGCAGAGGAAGTCGGTGAAGATAAGCTCCCGTATGGAGGGTGAGGGTATCGAGCCAAAATTTGATGATATCCCGAAACTAGTAAAAGATATTGTCAATCAATCTATGAGCAAGTTTGCCAGTATATTGAATCTCACCCCTAGAATAGAGCAGTCTGAGGGTAAAACGCAATCATTGATGACGAGTAGGCCTCAGAGAGGTGGATATCGAGAAGGCCCCATGATGTCTAGTAATGCATATAGACCTAGTGAGTGTAACAGGTTTCGTAGTACATCCTCAACAGATAAGTTACAAGATGCAAGGCAAACACGGTTGTGTTTTACACGTTTGCAAGAGGTGCATACAAAGGTGAACTGTGAACCAGTAAGCAAGTTCAGTGATAAGCTAAATGTAAACTCCGGGCCTGACTCCGAATTGTGTGACGATAACGGTGCGGTGAAGAAGCCTGTAGTTGCAACTGGTAAGCCATTGTTGAATAGAGTGTCACAGAATAGAGTTATTGCTTCAGAGTCCAGTTCTGACCCTACAAGTTTACAAGGTATTACTAGTCAGAGTGCAGTTATAAAACCTTTTAGGATTTGTGAGAAGGAACCAAAATTGTCTACTTCTGTTATTAAAGAGTTTGAAAATGATGAAATTGACGGTAAAGTGAATAATCGTGATAATGATCATGATACTTCACAGTTGTCTTTGGTTGTTCATGATGAGATGAAGGGAATGCCTACTACTGCTAAGATAATTAAAGGTTCTGTACAACTTGAACGTGAAGTAGAATTAAATGCAGATGCAGTTGCAGAAGGCATACATACTTGTGAGACCGTCAGTGTGATTGATCAGCATGTAGCCCACCTCTCATCAGATGCTAGTGCTAAACCTGAGCTGATAGTAAAATACAGCAGTGGTAGTTATCTTGCAGGTAGACAACTTTATGAAAGCCGAACAACAACGGCTTCTGATCCACCGCTAAGTTCATCAACTGGTATCAATCGGTTGTCGTTGGTGTTGTCATCCACAATGAGAAGGACGCCCATCAACTCCAGTATTTTGTGCAATGACTATGATAGTATTGGTGCGTTTGAAAAGACAAAAGATATTGCTCAGTTTAGTGAGGATAAGCCAAGTGTAAATGAGAGAGTGATTGTTAAATTGACTTGCATGAATAAAGGCATTTCTAGTTTCAAGTTACTATTTGAATGCTATTATCTTTGGTGTAAATTACTCTGTGCCTACGCTTGGTTGACCAGATACGCCGTGTGTTTGTTCGTCATCTATATTTTACGATACAATGACATGAGCGTGTTGCCGTTCAGATTTGAGGATATAGCTGATAGAGGGAAGTCAGCGAATGAACTCTGCAACGATTTTCCAACCTAGAGCGTCAACCTGAGAAGGGTTGTAGGCGTACTGCTGTAAGTCCTACAATTCTTCAAAGGTTAGCGCATCGATGAGCAGTCCAATGTGCTTCGTGTGTGATTTTGTACATATGTTCATATTGTATATACTGAATTGATATCATCTGTCATCTAGCTGTTGGTAATTCTGTTTGTGTCCGGACGTCTTCCACTTGGATCATCAACCTGAGAAGGAATGTAGGCGTACTGCTGTAAGTCCTACAGTTGTTCAAGGGTAGTTTGTCGTGCCAGAATCCACAACATTTTATGTGTTGATTGTACATATGTTTGTGTTAAATAATTGTGTGAGTTCCAATTATTGTAATTGTTGGTTAATCTTGTGTGTGTCCGGACATTCCACAAATTACAATCGTCAACCTGAGAAGGATTGCAGGCGTACTGGTGTAAGTCCTGCGATTCTTCAAAGGAATTCCATCGAGACACGATCTGCGAGTTTGTGTGTAATGTTTGTATACACGTGTGGTGTGTCATATCAATTGGTGTTTTTGGATCCATTGTGTTTACCCGTTGTTTTCGTACCTTGTTGTTATTGCATAATTTTGTTAAAATTTTCGTCGTGATTACTTCTCAAGTTGTTTCGAGTCTTCTACGTTCGTGAATGTTTTGATTGATGTTAGAGACAGCAGATGGGTCGTATACGCCGGGGAGGCTAGGCTATTGCTGAGAATGAAATGCATACGGAGATAATAATTAGCTGAGATCCTTCATGCCGGGAATCGGGAGTGCAAACGACTGATGCTCGCATACGTCACCGTCACTAGAACTGAGGCAGAATGAGTGACAAGCGATTGCAGTGGTAATTGGTAGTGAGTAGATAAGAGGATGAGCGTAAAGTATCGTGAGGTGCTGCTATGGTCACGTTGCATTCTGCAAGAGTCATTCTAGCAAGTGGCGATTGTGTTGCAAGATGTCAAGCGGAGGTCTCTGTCTGGAGGCGCAGGTCG